TCGTGGGTTTTATTTTCTCTTAATTTGAATATAATGAAACAATTCCAGTGCTGTATTAATATTGAATTCTGCGTGCAATAAACTAAGTCTCAGGCTTTTAGCAATGGATATATTTAAAACCAAAGAGTGCTGTACTCCCAGGTCTTTTGATTGTAAATTCATTGAAGTAATAATAATAATAATAATAATAATAATAATAATAAAAGGAAGGGCCCTTGGGGGATATCCAGCAGTTGGACATCCTTAGCGCTGCCTCAGAGATGGGAGAGGCTCCGGCCACCGCCACTGCGCTCACCAGCTGTGAGCCCGGCTTCTGGCTGAGCCGTGCTTCCCCTGTGGGAGCGCACTGACCACCAGGGGGCAGCTCGGTGTTCAGCATCTGCCCCCTGGTGGTCAGTGTACATCATAGCAACTGGTTGTTCTGCCGTTCAGTTGATTTGCATATTAGCCTTTTATTATATAGGATGCTTGAGAAGAAACTCAAAAGATGGGGGTGGATGGGTGGATGGATGGGACCCCCCTGCCTTAAGCCAAGGAGCCAGTTTGGAGTTCAGTTTACACATACCACTTTCACCGTTTCCTGGAACGTTCTCTTACTGCTGAGGTGCTCAGGGGGTGGAGGGAGGAATAAAATACACTGCTCTCCTGGGAAAGGGCTAGTTAGTAACCGTGGCTGTGTAGAGCTAGATGAATGGACAGTTTATTTGGGGAAAACACTAAGCCATCTTCCAGGCGGGGTAAGGAAGAGCACTGAGGCATGGTTTTATCCATACTTTGCCTTTGAGGAAAAAGGATTTATTTTACAGATTCCACAGGTGTGCTTCTAAGATGAGATTTCTGGAAGAAAATTAAGTGAAGAAATCCTTAAGGGCGCACAGAATGCTCTCAGCAGCTCAGATTTTTTTTTAAAAAAAAGATGCATCTGATTGGCAGGTGGAAGGAAACTTAATCACATTTCTCCAGCGCTAAGAAGACTAAGAAATAATCATTGAAGGGTTTTCTTTTCTAAAGGAAGCTCGCAAAGAGCTGCAATACTTCGGAGAGCACGAAGAGCTTCCAAGGTTGTGTTTGGAGTGATAGCTGCAAGAAGGGAAAGTGGGCTTCCCATCAGGTCTTCATGCAGGCCGATTTCGGATAGCATCGATGAAATTAGCTGTAAGCAATCAGCAGGGTTAGATCAGTATCATTCTTACTGGCTTCCATAACCTCGAACTAGCAGAACTACTTTTCCAGCAGTAAAAAGGAAAACAACCCCAAAGAGGAGAAATTTCATTTTTTTGAAGATTAGGAGATAGCAAGAGTTATCCTTCGCTTTAAATACATCTAAGTTTTTAGGACGCAACTGAATGGCCTCACAGGCATTGAAGGGAATCTCAGATATGATCGCGGGGTTATTGTCAATATTCTTTGTGAAACTACGGAGAATGTGGGAAGTACGAGGAGAACGAAGAGAAGCAAATGTCCTAGTTTCCAAAAGGACATCAAGTCCACTTCCCTAACTTTGTTTGTTTTTCAACTACCATTGACTTTCAACATTGTTTTTGCATTAGTGTTAGGTGTATAGCACAGTGGGTAGTCCATCAAATACCTTACAAGGTGTTCCTTCCCCTTGCTATATTTACATATAGTTATTATACGTAGTTATGGCACCACATATAGTTATTCCAATATTGTCAACCTATTCCCCGTGCTGTACTTCACATACCTCTGAGTATTTTGTAACTGCCAATTTGTACTTTTTAATCCCTTCACCTTTTTCATCTGGACCCCCAACCCCCCCGCCCCTCTGGTAGCCACCAGCTAGCTCTCTGAGTCTATGAGTCTGTTTCAGTTTTGGTCATTTGTTCTTTAGATCCAACGGATAAGTGAAATCATATGTTTTTTGTCTTTCTCTGCACTCAAAATTTGAAGAGGTTATTTAAAAAAAAAAAAATACAGTGTTGTAAGTGCTTAGGAAAGAATGAGATGGTCACCAGGAATCAATGTGAATTTCTAAGAATAAGACATGCCAAACAGCCCTCATTTTTCTATTTTTTTTTTTATTGGATTTTGTAATGACTGGATTAGAAAAATGCTAAAGACATGTCCTATCTTGACTTGAGGAGACTTTGCCAACCACTTGCTAGTCTGTCCTTGTGGAAAGACAACGCATGTTGGCGTTTAGGGTGATTGACAGCTGCTTCTGTGGCCACACCCACGCCGGCATCCCACAGGGTGTATCTAGACAGTAATCAGTGACCCCACACTGCCATGCCTCAGAGCCGATATGAACTAGCATACATTCAGAACGTGTGGGTTTCTACTCCCGAGTTCTTTGGACTGAGGATTTGTACATCGAAACTCGCTTACCTGGATTTATTCATATGATTGAAATTTCAGTTGTAGGCCTCTCCCCACCTGAGCTGTATCTTAAGGCACATAGATCTGTTTATAACGTTCATAAATCACCCTGACTCATAAGTCACTTAAAGTCAATGAACAAGCTCAGCGCCTAGAGCAAAGGCTGGCTGGGCGGGAATGCTACTGGGAGGGACCTTCTTTCTTATTTGTTTAACAACAACTACATTCACCCCGAGTACATGTGTTTCATGCCCTTGACATATCAAGTTCCTGTGACATGCTCCCTAAACAAAAGGCAGAACTTCGTGTACATTTGATAACATAGATTCCTCTGCGGTGACTGCTGGCTGGCCCTCGCGTCCTTGTAGTCATCTGCCTGTACAAGTTATTTGGACTTAAAAATTTTACCTAGAATCGTATCAAAGAGGCAATAATAACATTCTGTCCCCTTCTGAAAGTTCTTTTGGTTTCCAGAGGCAAAGAAGTCTATGTTGACTGCTGTAGCCAGTGTAGTTTATTATTAATTATTAATCTTAAAGAACACCAACCCATATAATTGGTTAACCTTTATAATTGACTTGATGAACCCATTATTGAATATGTTTTTGTTCAGTAAGCAATGAGACCGTGCAGTATTGATTATGAATTAGGGGTTGCTTCTACCCAGCAACAAACAAGCACTATAATATAAATAACAAATGAAATAATATGCTCCCACCTGAATTGGACTTCAGTGTATGGGGCCCCGGAATGCCTGGCAGAAGCAATCTGTGGGATTAGGCATTCTTCTGGGTTCTCCCTGTGGATATCTTTCAGGTTTTCTTTTCTTTTTTTTCTTTTTTATTTTTATTGTTATTGATTTCAGAAAAGGAGAGAGAGATAGAAACATCAATGATGAGGGAGAATCATTGGTTGGCTGCCTCCTGGATCAAGCCTGCAACCCTAGGCATGTGCCCTTGACCAGAATCGAACCCAGGACCCTTTAGTCCACAGGCCAGTGCTCTATCCACTGAGCCAAACCGACGAGGGCTTTCAGGTTTTCTTTCATCGTAAAAATTCCCGGCTTCCTTAGCATCTATTTTTGGCAAAACACGGACAGTATGTATTCAGTTAAGGATCTGAATATTATCTCTAACTTCAGAAGGACTCTGATTTCCTGCTTATATTAGCAACCTCTCATATGGGTGAAAAGAATGAACTGAGCTGTAGTAACCTTTTGATTTATTTAATCTTGTCATAACTATGCTGTTCAAATAAAACAAAGATTAGCCCGGCCAATGTGGCTCAGTGGTTGAAGGTCGACCTATGAACCAGGAGGTCACAGTTCGATTCCCTGTCAGGGCACACGCCCAGACTATGGGCTGGATTCCCCAATGGGGGCATGCAGGAGGCAGCCCATCAATGATTCTCTCTCTTCATTGATGCTTCTATCTCTCTCTCCCTCTGCCTTCCTCACTGCAATCAGTACAAATATGTTTTAAAAATAAAACGAAGAGTACATTTTAATTAAGCGGTCCTTTATTATTCAGTAAGATCATCTATTTTGTCTTCGCATTGCTCTCTCCTAATTATCTGAGGTCTTTCCACGGAGCGGTGGGGATTGCTTTGGGTTTCCTTTTGAGTTCAGCCCTCACTAAAAATGCATTGCTATCAGATGTCTTCAGTCCTCCATCTTCCTACTTACTACTTCTTGGACCCCCATAATATTCCTCTTTTTCTCTCCCGTTTCCCCCACAAATAAGAAAAGGATCTTCCCCTCTTATTTTATTCACATTGTATCGCCGAGTCACATAAGTGGAAAGAAAATGCCTGTTCCATTTAGTGAGAGAAGGCACTGAGGCAGCACCATTTGGCCTCTTCAAAGGTCAGGAAGATAGTAAGGGTGGTGGGAACATATTTGAATGGAGAGGTGATAAGCATTTGGAAGTTATCAGCATAAAGGTGGTATTTAAAGCCATGGGACTGAGTGAACTTAGCTTGTTATCTTCTCTGACCTGTGCCATCTCCTCCTTGACCTTGTAAAATAATGTATATGTTTTAATTTTTGTGCTTTTAATAATCTGGTGTTGGTTATCTTGGCTTTAGTAAAATATGCTGATTTCTTTTTATTGTTCACTAGAGGCTCAGTGCATGAACTTTGTGCACTGGGGTGGGGGGAGGGGAGTGTACCTCAGCCCAGCCTGTACCCTCTCCAATCTGGGTATCCCTTGGGGGATGTCCGACTGCTGGACACAGGGATCAAGCCTAAACCAGCAGTCAGACATCCCTCTCACAGTCAGGGACTGCTGGTTCCTAACTACTCGCCTGCCTGCCAAGCCTGATCACCCCCTAACCACTCCCCTGCCAGCCTGATTGATGCCTAACTGTTCCCTTTCCAGCCCAGTCGCCCCCAGCTGCCCTCTCCTTCTGGCCCAGTCACCCCCAAGTGTCCTCTCTTGCTGGTCCTGATCACCCACAACTATCCTCCCCTGCCAGTCATCTTGTGGTGGCCATTTTTTACCACATGGGGGCGGCCATCTTGTGTGATGGTGCAAGGGTCAATTTGCATATTACCTCTTTATTATATAGGCTTTTCTGTTTATTGTGTAAGGGTATTTAGTCAATATTCAACTGGAGAGCTAACCGTTCTGTGTTTTGTCTTCTGTTGTTTTCTTTTGTAGGCAAAGTGATTAACAAAGATTTGCGACATTACCTGAGTCTTCAGTTCCAGAAAGGATCCATTGACCACAAGCTGCAGCAAGTGATCAGAGATAACCTCTACTTGAGGACCATTCCATGTAAGTAGAAAACAGAATAAGAGAAACAGATCTTTTTGTAACTGGCCAAACATCTAGAAATAATTCGGGGAGAGCATCTCCTATGAAATTGTGAAGACTAAGGTGGGGGCCCTCAAATGCAACCAAAGTCGGAGAAGGAGAAACAGTTTTGGGGAGAACTTTCAGGGGTTTTGTTTGTCCGAGTAGAAAAACCCAAAGCGTCTATGTTGGGACTTTTTGGAAAGTCCCTAGGTTTTAAGAATGGAAGACCATCTCTGAACATGTTGCTAACTAGATTGTATTCATATAAATCCATTTCTACAGCCTGAGCAGTAAAAAGACGTCTGTGCTCTCAATGCCGCGTACACGGAGACATTTTTGTATTGGCTGCTGGGGCCTTGCTAATTTTAAAGCCCGCCCCTTCCTTTTGGCAGCCCGTTTTGCATGTTGGCATTGACGTTGGCGTTTCTCCTCCAGTCTTAATGGTTTTCATAGGGCCTCATTGTTGTTGTAACGGTGTTTTGGGTTTTTTGATAAAACACACAACAAGAAATCATGTGTGCTTAAGCGTTAGCTTTAGTGAGCGCAGGTCTGGTGAAGAATAAAAAGCAGTAAACAATGCGAAGGCATAAAAGGACAGTCAGCTCTGTGTTCCTTTTCACTGTCTAACTCCTGTGGATGCCAGCTTTTGTAATGGCCCTGAAACTCTCCATTTCTTTTCCTTGTTATTAATCTCACACAATGCCCAGCCCATTATCAGGCTTTTCCAATTATGCCTCTTAAGCATCTGTCCCTCTGCGCTGCCTCAGACCTCGCTCCTTGCTTGGACTTAAAAACAAAAACAATTTTTACCGTGGTTGTATTCATTTATTGAAGAACAAAAATTAGTCCTACTTTTGCTCAGAATTTCATTGTGTCTACTTATTCAATTATTTTCTCTCTTTGCTTTGGAAATATTTATATTCATAAAGTACATTTCAAAAAATATTGTCAATCATTAAAGCGTCTTAAATAGACCACTATTTTTCTTGTCTGACAGGTATGCGTGTTATGTATTAAAATGAACACACAAGTAGCAAACATTAAATAAGTTATTTAAACATGAAAAAAAAAAAAAAAAAAGCAAGATGTAGTGGCAAAGAGCAAGGTAAGACGGAGTTCAAAATGCTGATTCTAGCATCTTCTTAGCTGCTTCATGTAATCCCTCCTGAGCCTCCGAGAGAGAAACATCCATGTGAGAGAGACATCGATGTGAGAGAGAAACATCCATGGGCTGCCTCTTGCACACCCCCTTTCAAGGATGGAGCCCACAACCCGGGTATGTGCCATGACTGTGAATCGAACCGGCAACCTTTCGGTACACAGGACAACAGGACAATGCTCAACCAGCTGAGCCACACCCGCCAGGCCTGTTGCTGTTTCTTCGGTGATCACCGTTGTCTAAAGCTTGTTCTCCACTAGACTTGTTAGGAAGGGCCCACTGGGCCACCGTAGCTGTCTGCTTGTGCTTTTTATACTTTCAAGTTTGCTTGGACAGTTACTCAATGTTGGCTCATTGTTTCTTTCCTGGTCTATCTTCATGATATTAGTTCATTGTCTGACCGTCTTTTGCTGTGAAGCATTGTTCTGAAATAATCTGATTGTCATTCCCTTGTAAGGAGCTTGGGGCTTTGCCTACACAGGGCGTCTCAGGGTAGCATGTTTAGGTTCCCAGCTCTGGAGCTCTGTCATCCTTGTTAGAACAAGCTAATAAAGTAAGTGCTTGTCCTCCCTCTGCCCTCTGCCACTTTTCCTTGGATCTTCTTTGTCATCGACCTCTGTCCTGGTTTTGCACTGTCTCCTCAGCGTGAGGTTTTGCCCTAGAAAGGAGCTGCAATTTATGTAGTTTTAAGCTGCAGGGTCCACACAGCTGCAGCCTCTCAGATCCTCATGGACCTTTCTGCTTGCTAAGGGAGGTGTCCACAGCCCCATCGGGCCTCTGAACAGTACTCTTTACTGAGCGATACCAGATCTTGGCAGAGAAAATTCTGATTGCAGGTGTGGGGCAAGGGAGATGCAAGGTGAGCTTGGAACATCTCATTGTAGCAGGAAGTATATAAAATGAACCCCAAGCTGAGAATTGCCGCCTGAGACCCCCTCCATGGCCAGGCCAGGGGCCTGGGAGCTGCGTGAGCAGAGAGTCCTCACCAGCCTGCCCCCAGAGGCCTCCTGCCTTCACCAAGCTCCGGCAGGCCCCGGTTCCAAAAGGCAATTAAGCCCCAAAGGATCCGGTGAGCATGCTTGTGACTTGACCGTTAGCAACCAGAAAGGAAGGAAGTTGCCAGTGTCTTCTTCCCCCTCCTACCGCAAAAAGACACTCGGCAATGTCAGCCGGCACCAGCAGGCAGCCTCCCGGAGGCTGGGGCGGGGTCACCTGGGGCTCCCCAGCAGCACCTTCCCAGGCGGCTCCATGAGCTGCACACACCGGTGACTTCCTCGCTTCCTGGCATGTCCCTGGGCACCCAGCTGGCTCCCCGCATTTCATAATCCCCCTGCACGTGGTCTTCCAGGGGGGCCTGGCAAATCCAGCCGCTTCCCAGCTGCCTCTCCAGTAAGTTAATGACACCTCGCACACACCATGCTGCCCCCTGGGAGCTGTCTTGTCCGTTCCATCCAGGCCCAGCAGACCCTGCCGCTGCCACAGATGGAGCCACCCTCCTCCACTGAGGCCTGGTCCCCAGCTGACAGTGTCTCTCTCTTCCAGGTCTTTTTTTTTTTTCTTCAATATATTTTTATTAATTTCAAAGAGAGAAAGGGAGAGAGAGAGAGAGGGAGGGAGAGAAAGGATCATCAATGATAAGAGAAATCCTTAATCGGCTGCTTCCTGTACGCCTCACCTGGGGATCAAGCCCATAAGCTGGGCATGTGCCCTTGGCCGGGAATGGAACCGTGACCTCCTGGGTCAGGGTCAAAGCTCAGCCACTGAGCCATGCTGGACGGGTCCTTTCAAGTCTGTTCCTAACTTGGGTGTTCTCCCTCCGCTCTAGGGCGGTGTGCTTTCCTCCCTCTTCATTCCTTGGGAATCTATGATAATAAAAGTGTAATACGCTCCTTAGACCGGATGTCCTTCCGGGAGACCTTCCCAACAGAGCCAGGCTGGGAGGGGAGCCCATGGCAGGGCCGGAGGGAAGCCGGTGCCGGCAGCCGGAGGAAGGAAGGCCTCCTCTTGCACGAATTTCATGCCTCGGGCCTCTCGTGGTTAACAATTCTTTATCTTAAGCCGTCCTTGTTCAGGTTCCCGTGCGGTTTCTCTCTGCTGCTCGGACCCTGGCTGGTGCAGAGCCGGCACTGGCCGCGGCCCCGGAGCCAGGCCCAGCGGGGGTGTTAGCCTTGGTTTGGCTGTGTTCTCGGCTCAGCGCAGTGCCAGCCGCCTGCCCGTGGGAGGCAGGGTACTTGTCATTCAGGACGAGAGGCGGCGTCACGGTTTAATCGCACGGTGATTTGGGCTGATTGCGGTAGAAGTGCCAGCTGAGCCCAGTACCTTGGGACCCGGGACGACTGCGGCCGGTGCCCGCCATCGCAGCAGTGATGCTCCCGGCGCCGCGGGGCGGGCGGCGTCTCCCCGGGGCTCCAGGTGCTCAGAGAGACCGGCCGCTGCATCCGCTGCTTTATTATCATCACGAACTCGAATAACAGGATCGTCAGTAACGCCTTTAAGTTGCCTGATAGTGACATTTGCAAATAGGTCAACTTACAAAGGGGGACCGTTAACACAAAAGAAAGATAATTTTAAAATTTGAAAGGACCCACGACACGTACTTACTATTTGAGTTGTTCACTCCTACAGCGAAATTTTAAAGCACACAAAGCAGCGTTACATTATCTGCTCGTCTCCTCTTCGCCGGGTCAGAGATATTCGAGACGTAAAAGAAACGGCTCTGCCTCGCGTTGATAGTCACCAGGTTGGAAGCGCGTAGGCAAAAGCATCTTTAAATCGGGCGTCAGTCACTGGCCATTCATCTGAGCTTGCTTGCTTTTTAAAAAAAAAAAAAATAGATATTTTATTGATTTTGTACAGAGAGGAAGGGAGAAGAATAGAGAGTTAGAAACATCGATGAGAGAAACATCGATCAGCTGCCTCCTGCACACCCCCTACTAGAGATGTGCCCACAACCAAAGTACATGCCCTTGACCGGAATCGAACCCGGGACCTTGCAGTCCGCAGGCCGACGCTCTATCCACTGAGCCACACCGGTTTGGCAGCTGGCAGACATTTCTTGCGTGTAGATTAAAGACCCAATATGGTGAAGATATCAGTTCTCCTCAAATTGATTAATAGATTCAATCTAACTCCATAAAAATTCCAACAATTTCAGCTTGTTTATTTGGTTCCAAAATTTAGATGGAAGATGCTATGAATAGAAAAAAACAAACAAACACAAGATTGGTCCTAGCCAGGTAGCTCAGTTGGTTAGAGCATCGTCCCAATATGCCATGATTGTGGGTTCAGTCTGTGGTCAGGACACATACGGAGCAGCCAGAGAACGCATGGGTAAGTGGAACAACAAAAACAAATGGGTGTTTCTCCCTCTCCCCTTTTCTTAAAAAACCAAAATCAGTAGCCTTGTTCTACACCCCACAGTTTACCATGAAAACGTAATCACACCATGGTGATACTGGTGCGGGAGTGGTCAGGAGATAGGTGGGATGTGCCGGAGAGTCCACTGATGGGTGCCCAGTCCTACCCAGACATGTCTGGGTCAGTGTCTGTGCCAGAAGCCCGTGGTGGAGCAGGGGGGAAGTAATAGTCGTTTCAGTAAATCCTGCTGAGTAAGCCATTTGGTGAAAAAGGAAAGTAGACCACTCACTGCCTCTCCCAGGTCCCTAATTAAGTGATCTCAGTGCATTGAAGGATCGGGCATGACAGGCAAAGCTGTGGTGCTTTGTAAAAAGAACATGGCCTCTCCCCAGGGTCTTGGAAAAGATTTCTTCAAGGCACCAAAAGCATTAGCTCTAGAGGGAAGGATTGATAAGTTTGACTACATTAACATGGACAAAGCATCAGTCCTCAAAAGGTTACTTTTTCAAAGGTGAGAAAAAACAGAGTGGGGAAAGATACTGCCTGTTCTGCCACCGCGTTTGTTTCTGTGATGCGAATAAGTTCCTATGTGATTGGTGAGTCGGTAGGAGAATGATGTCAATTTAATTGAGGTCAAACTGGTTTGTATTCCGTTTTCCTGAACAAGTTCATGTTTTGCGTCATCAAGTAGCAAATAAACACAGAATATACAAACACAGCTGAATGGCGCGTGGGCTGTGCAGGATGCTCATTCACCTCAGTGTGGCCTCTTTTCTCAATTAGAATGTGTGCTTTCTCTTAAAATTGCTTCTCTTCACCAATCAGTAGCCTAACCCACCCTGTATCCCTTTCTGTCAAGCTAGCTTTTCTTTAAAAAAAAAAAACAACAACACACTAAGGCCCGGCTGGTGTGGCTCAGTGGTTGAGCATCGATCTATGACCCAGGAGGTCACGATTCAATTCCCAGTCAGGTCACATGTCTGGACTGTGGGTTTGATTCCCGGTAAGGGACGTGCAGGAGGCAGCCGATCAATGGTTTCTCTTTCATCATTGATGTTTCTATCCCCTCTCCCTCCCTCTCTGAAATCAATAAAAATATATATATTTAAAAACAAAGTGTTTTATTGATTCTGGTATTTATAATTGAGGGTGTAAGATGGCTCTTAAACTATATTAATATTTTTAATCAGGATTGTTATCGATTTGGGGGGGTGCTAAAATGTTGCCATTGGTTTTGAGAGATCAACCCTGACCCTATTTTCTGCAATCTCCATTGATACCAAAGGATGATAGTAGCCGAAACCGGTTTGGCTCAGCGGTAGAGCGTCGGTCTGCGGACTGAAGGGTCCCAGGTTCGATTCCGGTCAAGGGCATGTACCTTGGTTGCGGGCACATCCCCAGTAGGGAGTGTGCAAGAGGCAGCTGGTCGATGTTTCTCTCTCATCGACGTTTCTAGCTCTCTCTCTCTCTCTCCCTTCCTCTCTGTAAAAAATCAAATATATATATATATATATATATATATATATATATATATATATATATATAGTGATAGTAGTTGCGTTTTGGGGGAGTCACAAGTTATATGAATTTTTCACCTGTGTTAGGGGGTTGGTGCTCCTGACCCCCTATTGTTGAAGATAGCTGTACTTTAGCATGAATTCCTTAGCCGAAACAATGCAGTGCCCTGTTGCTGAATCTCATTGAACGGCTTACTTACTGCTTACTTTTTAAAAAACTACCTGAAGAGAATAATGGCTAAGAAGCAACTTGTAAACACCTACCTTTATTAAGCCTTAAGCCTTTTTATTCACCTAAAATATTTTCATAATTAACATTTGTCTAAGTTTTTAAAATAGAGTTCATTAAAAGACCTTAACTTCTTTTCTTTTAATTGTCCTTTATGCCTCTAGTAAGTAGACTGTTCGTTTCTTTACTCTAAGGAAGAAAGAAATACTTAAGTTAGCTACCTAAAAATGAAGTCTGTCATTGGTGGGTTATTGTGTGTGAACGGATGATAACTGCGGTTTAAAAGAAGAATTAACTGTTGAGTCTTAGAAAGTTAAGCTTCCTCTGACACTAAAATGTTGTAGTTTTGAATTTTGTGGCTTCCATGGAGGTTTTTTATTTAATTTTATTGACTCATCCTACGTTATTTATTGTCCTGCGTTCACTTAGGAATCTTAACTCGCCTCAGATTTTCTGATCCTTATTCCAACCAGGTGTAATATATCCAATGGTCTTTTTCTCCATGCGTCCTCTGTAGGTTGTATATTCTGTTATTTGCAACATTTTGTAAGTTTAAAAGCACTTCCAACCTATTTTTTTCTTGTTGTTTTTTTCCATAGGCACCACCAGGGCCCCCAGAGATGGGGAAGTGCCAGGGGTGGACTATAACTTCATTTCTGTGGAGCAGTTCAAAGCGCTGGAAGAGAGCGGAGCGTTGTTAGAAAGCGGAACGTATGATGGTATGTCCCCACATGTGATAACAGCAGCCCAGACAACTAGCTGAATGACTGCAGTTATTTCAGAGGGAATATTTGATCAATAAAATACCATGTTACAAACAAGTTTTATCTGTTGGTTTGGGGGAAATTTTCTTTTAATTAGGGTAATTGTAAATTTGCTAGTTAAAATGGGATTAAACAATAAACAAAAAGCACTTTATCACATTACGAAGTCAATTATGAGTAATATACGAAAATTATTCAAATGAGCTGGTTTGTGTATTTCATAGTAATTCACATTCATCATGTGAGCTCAGCAAGTGCTGGTAGATTGCTTTCTGTTTGTGATTGAGAATTCATATACTGTAGACTTTAAAAAATCTGTTTATACTTTGGATCGCTTGGAGAAAAGAGAATATAGAAGGGGGAGAAAAACAACCAAAACAGAGTATTTGGTTTTCTGTTCACATCTCTCTCCTCTACCCACCTGATTCCAGGAAGTACAGACTTAAGATCAAGTTCAAACTTTCCAGTTACTCTGGAAGTCACAGAGTTTGAGCATGTTTTCATATGCTCATTAGTTTTTTGGACTTCTGCAAATTGTCTGTTCATTTGTTCGTCTATTTTTTAAAAATATATTTTTATTGATTTCAGAGAAGAAGGGAGAGGGGAGAGATAGAAACATCAATGATGAAAAAGAATCATTGACTGGCTGCCTCCTGCATGCCCCCTCCTGGGGATAGAGCCTCCAACCCTGGCCTGTGCCCTTGATCAGAATCGAACCTGAGACCCTTCAGTCCGCAGGCTGACACACTATCCACTGAGCCAAACCAGCTAGGACGTGTCTATTTTTTTTTTTTTTTAATGGGATCTCAATCGCATTCCAGTGGCAGACATTCCTTAGATTTTACATATTATTTAGATATTAGTCCCCTATTGGATACAGATATTTTTTCCTATTCTTCCACCTAATAACCTTGTCCCATGTTGCTTCATTAAACAGAAATCCTTAATTTCCGTTTACCAGATTTATCACTTCTTGACCTTATGACTTGTACTTTTGAAGTTTTGCGTAAGAAGTCCTTCTTTGCCCTTAGATCACAAAGAGAATTTCTTCTGTTAAGTGTAAAAGCAGGTTAGAAATATGCCAAAATGGCCAATTGTGCTCAATTAAAGGAAGTGCACATTGAAATAACCATCACACACCATTTCACACCCATCATGTTGACAACAGTTTCACAGTCTGATCATTGAGGGGATGGAAGCTCCCACACGCAGCCGGCAGAGTGTGAAATGCCGCCGTCCCTTTGGAGAGCACCGCGGCCACAGCGGGTCACCTCAGGGACTCGCGTGATTGGCGCAGCCGTTCCCCTCCGACGCCCGTGGGAAACCCCGTCTGTGTGCCTGTGTAGACAGTTCCTCCTCTCCTTCAGCGACAGAGATTTGTTTTGATGCCAGATTTCCTTTGTGTCATCCCCGTGACGGAGTGACTCCATCTCCAACATGGATTTGAAAGTAAGGGAGGAGTGAGGTCAGGCCGGCGATCCGTTATGGCAAGGCTTTCTAGTTCCACACCACTGTTTTGTCTTGAGCATTTGAATAGCAATCCCGCCTCAAGTGACATTTCCAAAGAATTCACCTTCGTGCTTTCCCCTGCGAAGCACGCCCCACCTAAGGTGAACCGTGCCGTTTGTAGACTTGCCCCAGTGTGCCGATCAACAACTCGTGCTTTCTCCACCCAGGAAAAGTAATTCCTGATAGCCCCAGTAATTTCCCTTAAGGGAATGAGCATCTTAATTGCCTCCTGAAGGAGCCAAGGAATTTGATTAGAAAAAAAAAAGTGATTTAAAAAATAAAATAAAAGAAGGTCATGAATATTTTACTCCACAATCAGGTTTATCTTCCCGTAACATTAGCATAGTGATTGATGCAAGGTCAGAACCAGCAGGAGCCACAAACTGTTCTCGTAGGTAGATCCATTGAGCATTTTCCCATTATGCGCGGCTGCCTAATGAGGGTGGCATGACAGATGGAGAAGCGATTCCATTGTTCTCATTCTATTCTGGAACATTTATTTTTTTACTGCAAAAATGACTGATCCCGACGACTTAACATATTAAAGCAGCTCTTGCTTCCCTGAGAGTAAGCCAATATTGAAATATGCTAATAATGTCTCTATTTGCTCAACAAATTGTCAGATAAAGTGATATAATTAGAATCTCAGGAAAACTTTCAAAAATTACTTTTGCGTCAACAGCCCACGTTTCCACACAGACTGGTTCGCTCGTAGCCTCATCCTTTGCCCACGTAGTTTCTCCTCTCACCAGAATAGTTCGCCATGGTGCACATCAGAGCAAAGTGATCTGAGTTCGTTTCCTTCTCCTTTCCCTCCCCCCCCCCCATGCCAGTGAGTCCTACACGAGGGCGTTAATGCATCTGAATCCACCAAGTAGGCCCCACGTTAGGATCCACGCAAACCAGCCCTGTTGGGATAAATAAGACGTATCCTCAAAGTCCGCTCCCTGGCTTTCTATGGTGAAGGGCACTTAGGACCTTAGTTATTTTTGCTCTTTCTACTCCTCCTCTTCCAGGCAGTGTCTTGGCCTCCTTCTGGCCCGGGGTGGTCGGCTGTGCAGAAAGTTCCGTGTAAGATAACAGGGCAGAGACCTGCGCCGGGCCCTATTGTTTAGCGTTAGCGTCTCCAGCTGCTGCCACTGTGTTCCCTTAGGCAACTTCTACGGGACCCCCAAGCCTCCGGCGGAACCCAGCCCTTTCCAGCCCGACCCTGTGGACCAGGTCCTCTTCGATAATGAGTTTGACACCGAGTCCCAAAGGAAGAGGACCACCTCCGTCAGCAAGATGGAGCGGATGGACAGCTCTCTCCCCGAGGAGGAGGAGGACGAGGACAAGGAAGCCGTTAACGGCACTGGCCTTGCAGGTGGGTACATGGATGAGCAGTTTCCAGTGACCCTCTGGTTGGCTTTCCCGGGACACTGCCCTGGACGCAGGAAGGCCTCCCGCAAAGCCCAGGCAGAGGGAGTGATGGGCTTCTCATACTTTCCGTTAAGCTGCTCCCAGTGGCCATTTCGATAAGACAGCGATAGCACAGTTAGGTAAAGGATGGGAGGAGTGCAAACACCATAAGGACACGGAAGGCTGTGTAATGAGGCCTAAGGCCGCCTCTAAGAGCCTCTGATGCTGAGGCGTTGACTGTGTACGAGGCAGCTTGGTGTTGCAGCTAAGAGCATAGGCCACTGGGATTGAAATCCTTTGCTCAATTAGCCGCGTAACCTTGACTGAATTAACTAACCTCACTGTGCCTCGGTTTCCTCATCCATAAAATGGGGATAGTAAGACGTACTCTCAGGCCTGACTGGGGATTCTGAGTTATAATATATGGGAAACGCTTAAAATAGCTCCTGACACGTAAAGGGATTGTACAAAGGCTGCTGGGCTGTTGATAGTGTCCCGTTGACTGATCTGTGTTCAGTAGGAACTGACTTGACTCCAGAGTTGTTTTTTGTGTCTTTCCCAGACCAGCCCCCAAGGTGCTATATGGGGCTAATGTCACTTAGCAAATGAGAAAAAAAGAAAAGTATGTTTCTGTTTGTTTTTTCAAAAGTCACAGCAGAATGTGGACACAGAAGACAAGGAGATGTGTGATAGATATTTGGCATCTTGTTAGAACTGAAGGGTGCTGTGTGGAGACAGTGTGAGCTCACCTGCTCTTCATCCTGTTCTCTTTTGACTAGAAAACAGAGAGAGGCACACTGAGCCATCCGACTGGATGAAGACCGTCCCGAGCTACCACCAAACCAACAGCTCCATGGACTTCAGGAATTACCTGATGAGGGATGAGAACCTGGAACCGCTGCCCAAAAACTGGGAGATGGCCTACACCGACACGGGGATGATCTACTTCATCGAGTAAGCCGCCGTCTGCGCCTCCTCTCCCTGCCCCGCTGTCTGAGAACGAGCTGAGCCTCCCTTCTCAAGGCCTCATGCCGCTGTTCTCTCTTTAAAAATACTTTCCCTCCACGTTACAGTGGATTCTTAATCTGACCTTTTCCCTGGACGGTATTTTGTTTTTATTTGACTTAGATAAAGGAATAGTGTGTTTGATCGCTGGTTTTATAAAAACAAGAGGATAAAAGACAGATTTATCACTAATAATGAAAAATGTAAGGAGTAAAGAAGGTTTGGTTTGTTTTTTTATTATTATTATTGTCTTAAGTTTTACCCCCAGTTGACACCCCTTCCAACCATTCCCACCCTGGGCAAGCCCCCACCGCCCCAGTGTGGTTTGCTTTTTTTTATAAAAAAGATGTTTTCATTGGTGAGAGAGAGGGCGGGGGGGAGAAACATTGATCTGCTGCTTCCTGCACACTCCCTACTGAGGATGGAGCCCACAACATGGGCCTGTGTCCTGACTAGGAATGGGACAGGTGACCTCTGGGTACATGCTCAACCAACTGATCCACACAGGCGAGGTCTGCTTCACTGGTGGTAGTGGTGATGGTGGTGGTGGTGGTGGTGTTTAACTTTTGTGTATATTGTCCCACTGAACTCACATTTCAGGAATTATCGTATGCGGGGGACATATTTCTTATCTGAGCTAAATATTTTCAGTCCTAGAGATTGGGTTTGATGTTTTTAGGCAATAGAATCAAATAATATAGGAGGAGGGGGAAATCACTGGTCCTCAGAGGAACAGGTATAATGTAAATCCCCACAAAAAACTTTTATAAAAAAGCACTATTAATATGTTTGTATTTACAGAGATATAGAGTACCACATGTGTTCAGTCAACCTAAAGTTTTCTATTGCTAGCACCTGAGATTATATAAATAATTTATTAGAGGTTTCATTTGAAGTTTTTTATAGTCTCATGCAGCTGTAATTCTCATCTTTAAACGAGTTTACCCAGAGGTAGAATATCGAAGTAGTGAAGTTACAAAATATGCTAATTAAAATACTGAGGGCTGGATACTACACTCAGAAGAACATACACACAGACAATGTGTATCAGGGCTGAGAGATGTGAGTTTCCTCAATCGGTCCCCAATTTCACATTCTTAAGACATAATAAGCATCTTGCTGTACCAAGTGAGATTCTAACGTTTAAAAGACATAGATTTTGGGTGCACGATGTTCTTTTTACCAGGTGTGGTAAGTTATACATTTATATAAACATTAATGACCAGGATTACAGACAAAATCAGGTATACTCCTCTCTGTGGCCAATTTGAGGAGTTTTTCGAGGGTAATTTAGACTTCAGACTTTCATGCTGACGTGGGAACTACCCCCCTGAGTAAGATGTGGAGGCACAGAAAGGAGCTAGAATATCTTTAGAAGCAGATTATGAGACATCAAATCTGACAGCACCTCACCCTGCACACAGGGACCCGTGAGTAAATTATGGGACTGGGGAATTTATAAAGACACCAAATGTCTTTATAGGTGAACATTTTTTAAATGTAAGATCTGATACTATAAAACCTCTAGGAGAAAAGCTTTGTGACATTGAACTCGGCAAGGACTTCTCGGGTCTGACACCGAAAGCACGGGCAACGGTGAGACTATAAAACAGAGAAAAGGGACCACATCAGACTTAAAAGCCTCTGTGCAGTCAGTGGAAGCAATCAACAGAGTGAAATAGCAGCCAAAGAAATAGAAAATATTGGCAAACCATCGTCTCCTAAGGAGTTAATATCCACACTAGAGCCGAGTATTATTTGCTAGAGATTAAGCTCTCTTGCTCGCTGCAGCTCGGTCTGTGTGGCGGCTGCTGTTGCTCAGCCATGCCTCCGTCAGTAAGCGGTCCTGGCCTGCAGTCTTTAGCTATTCCGTTTCAGATACAGCCCCAAGGGGCATGTCTTTCCCTGAGAAGCAGTGGGCAAAATGCCAGGGGGTTGCCCACTTCTGCTAACCTAGCAGCACACATTTTGGGTCATTGAAACCAAAGTTAAGCTTTTCTGAAAATTATTGGTTGTGTGAGGTATGCCCATTATTCGTTTTTAACAATATGCGTGCTGCTAGGCCTCCGTGAAGCCCTGATCCTTTTCATGTTACTGAAATGGCTTTGGTTAGTTTGCTCTGGGGGAAATTCTCTCTGACAGAAAGGGTAACAGACTCTCCACAAAGAATCCCAGTTTCCCCACTTAGATTGTCCATACTCGGCGTACAGCAGAGTCTCTTCCACAGCGGAGAGTCAGGCTGGCGCTGGCGGGAGGGATTGCCTCGCCTGCCCTGTGGGCAGTGCAGGGGCTAGAAAAGGCCTGGGAGGCCTGATTATTTTCCGGAAGCCACGGGCTCCATTTCCTGGGAGCGGCCAGTGTCTAGATGAGCGAGTTGATCTCAGGATGTAGACGCCCAGAGAGGATAACTTGTTCTCATTGCCATTCCCACACTGTTTGATAATCGCTGTCATTTATATTTTGTTGCCTTCCTATACAGCTGTCTTTGGTGTGTTTTTTTTTCTTTCCTGTCCTCACATTGCAGACACTGAACCTGTAGCAGCGTCTGCCCAGCAGTGAGGTTCTTTTGTTTTAGCTTTAGTGCCTGCTGCACGGGGCCCGGCCTGAGTCACCGCAGTGACCAGCAGTGAAATCGGGCGGACACTGCTCTCTGAAGGCCTACTTCTTAAAGTGGGGGCGGGCGATCTTTTCGTTCCACCTTTTTTTTGTATTAAATATATGGTCCATAATGATAAAAACTTAGTTTTGTAGAGATGAGTTTAATTATACCCTTCATTTAATTTTTTTTTTATTTCAGAGAGGAAGTGAGAGGAGAGAGAGGCGGGGGGAGAGAGAGAAACATTAATGAGGAGAGAGAGTCATCCATCAGCTGCCCCCTGCACACTCCCTACTGGGGATCGAGCCTGCAAACCCTGCACGTGCACTGACCGGGAATCGAACCATGACCTCCTGGTTCACAGGTCAATGCTCTACCTCTGAGCCACACCGGCCTCACTGTCCCCATCCTTGTTACTTGCCGTGTTGCAGAAACAAACACTATGGAGCTTTCCCTTTCGTTTCGCTCTCCATTGTGTTACATTAACTAGCCCTGTGAGTCCCCAGGCTCCGTCTGATCATGTATCTCCACTTGCCCAGCCCCTGGCAGGGCCCGCACATCACAGACTCAGAAATGCTGTGGGCTTTAAAGGGCAGGAGGAAGGGACTCGGGCAGCCAGCGCACCAGGTTCTCACGCGGCCTTTCCTGCCGGACACTGCCCAGCAGGGGCCGTGGCTTAGATGGCGCCTGTTCTTCTGTCCTAGCTGCTTATCCCCTCCTCGGCATCTCCCTCCTCACATCAATGCCTCTGGCATTACCTCCCCATCAGGGCAGCTTTGAAGCCGCAGACGGAGAGCAGTCGGATTACTGAGTCAGCGGCAGGCAAACAGAGCCTGCAGGAGATGACTGTTCTAACAACATCCACCTTTTAGTTCCTTTTAATCTTGGCTTCTGATATATTTTCCTCCATCTGTGTATTTTGCTGTGTCTAACCGAGGTCTTTATTCCACAGCCACAATACCAAAACGACCACCTGGCTGGACCCTCGCCTCTGTAAGAAGGCCAAGGCCCCCGAGGACTGTGAAGACGGAGGTAGATTCCAACTTTTAGAAATTCTAAATAAATATTTTAGTAAGTTAGGTGCATGCTCAGCCCCAGGGTGGCCTCCTCATGCCTGTTGAGCCTTCAAACATATATTTAATTGAGTATCACTAGGATGGATAGTGCCTATGGCCAGTCCCTGGCCATTTAGAGCGGCGTTAGGAGCCCAATGAAAGTCTTCTATAAGCCCCACCCCACACACGGTGTTTACAGCTCAGTAGTAAAATGATTCCTCTGAGAATCATTGGGTAATTATTATTGTTATTGGATAGTGATTCTGCCTTGTATATTATCGACTGTATTTAGTGGCATAGTCTTACAAGTAAGTATAGAATTTACCCCAACCAAAATCGTTTGCTATGCCTTCCTAGTATAGACTGTGGAAGAATAAGATCTGTTTTTGAAGAAATTGAAAAGCTGATTCTAAGATATTTATAAATACAAAGCTCCATTCCGTTGTGTATATGTGCACCTTCTTTAATCCCCTATCGGAGGGCACTTTGGCTGTTTCCAGATGTTGGCCACGGTGAGGAATGCGGCAGTGAACATAGGGGCACCTCTGTCTTTTCAAATCAATCTTTTCAGAGTTTTCAAGTAGATGCTCAAAAGAGGGGCTGCTGGGCCACATGGTAACTGTACGCTTCATTGGTTGAGGCAGCCCCATCCTGTTTTCCATGGTGGTTTTCCCGGTTGACATGCTCACCAGCAGTGAACAGGGGTTGCTTTTTCTCCACAACCTCGCCGGCACCTGTTACGACGTTAAGAAATGATTTTTAAACCATATTTATGATACCCTCCCCCCCTTTGTATAGAAGGTTCTCAGCAGTAAGTTTTTGTGGTGAAATCAGCACTCTGGAGGTACACTGGCATGTACGAGCCTATAGACCCGGCTGTGTGCAGACTGTGAAGGTGGCATTGGTCTTCTCGGCCACGTCTCCCCTGCTGGCCGCCCCCTGCTTCCTGCCCACTGATTGTTCAGTTCAGTTCTCTGCCGCTTCCTGTTTTCCCTGCAGAGCGTACTTACTTCCGTAGCTTTAACTGTAGCTTATCTACGTCTCCCGTATTGTCCTCGGTTCTAAACGCTATTTCTGTATTTCCTATTGACTTTCTTTTTTATTGTCCTACTAAGCACTTCAAATAACTGCATTTAAAACTAAACATTCTCCTCCCGAAGTACCCGACCCTCCTTCGGTCATCGACACCGTCCGCATGGTCACCTGCGCCCAAATCCTTGCAGCTATATTTGCTGCTGCTTCTCTTGCTCTGTTCCCTTCATACAGTTTCCGATCCCTGTGGCTCTTTCCTTTTCTATACACTGAGTATATATACACTCAGTGTCTATCCTATAGAATAAAAGGCTAATGTGCAAATTGGCCCCTCGACCAGCAGTTCAACCAGCAGGCAGGCCAGCCAACCACCCATGCCCCATGTCCCCTCCCCCTGGCCAGGCTGGCTGGATCCCACCCATGCACAAATTCATGCACCAGGCCTCTAATACACACACACACACACACACACACACACACACACACACACAGTGGCCAGATTATTATGCGTTCAGAGATCATAATAATCTGGCCACTCAGTGTATTTTGCCAGTTTACAAATTAGTATGAAAACTTCCCAGCATACAGACAAATGGATAGAACTTTACAGTGAATTACATACATGTCCACCACTGAGATGCTACAACGAACCTCTTGCTGTATTTGCTTTTTCACACAGCTGTTTGTCCATCTACCCTCTTTCTGTCCATGCTTTTTCTTTTCTCTCATTCCTCTGATCACCACACACTTGCATTATCCTTAGACTTAACTTTCTTCGGTTACTTCTTCAGTACATCCCTCATGCCCTCGGCCACCAGAATGTTGGTGTTAAACTGCCTCTTGGTGTACAGGAAAAAGGTGTTAGAACTTATTTTGTATAATGTTTCTTTGAGGGGAAAAAAGGAAATTAAGTCTCTCTACTATTTTAGATACAGATTGGCAATCCTACATGTGATCATATGTGATTTTCACATACCCCACCCCGAGTGCCTTCCTCTCCTCAAGGGCACCGTGGACTTTTGCAGTTGACTGTGTCCGTTTGGTGGATTTAGAGACCGTGTTACATGGTTTTTAATCCAGACAAAATGGAAATGTGACTTTAAAAATTTTTTGCAAAAGATAGTACCAAATGAAGGTCATACAAATTCTAAGCCCAGGCTAACAGTAAGAACACGGCAGAGCTGATGAGTTTTATGTCACCTTTTCACTTTTCTACACCAGATAGTAAGCAGAGGGTGGGTACTCTCCGTGGTTTCAGGCATCGCTGAGGGTCCTGGAGCCACTCAGACTCGAACTGTTTGCTCTTGGAAAGCAAGCCCTCAGCGTTCCGTCTCCCAGAAATGTAAACTCCCTCGGCGGATCCTTCCCCATTGGTTTTGAACTTGGCATTTCACTCAGTTCTTTTTTCTTTCCTTTTTTTCTTACAGAACTTCCTTACGGCTGGGAAAAGATAGAGGACCCTCAGTACGGGACGTACTACGTTGAGTAAGTCTGTTCCCTCGGTTCCTGTTCTCCCAAACGTGCCTCCTCCGTTACAATGCAGCAGTGCAGACTCCATGCTCTTTACCGGGAGGGGGTGCGAGGGGAGGGCCTGAGCCTCACTCGCCGATGCCGAATCCGGAGGGGAGCTGCCGGTGATGAGTAGTTAGCGGCATGGCTCCAGACTCCTCCACTGAGAGAGAGAGAGAGAGAGAGAGAGAGAGAGAGAGAGAGAGAGAGACTTAAAACCCTCCTGCTATTAAAAAGTTAGGTAACCCATTAGCAAACAGCTCTGCTCGCACTGGTGCGGTGTGAAACCGCCGTTGGCCATTCGGTGCGCTGATGAAGAGGCCGAGTGGCGGCCTCCGCGGCCTGGGCTGCTGGGCCCCTTCTCCATTTCCCTTCCTTACAAACGCCCTCCCGTGGCCTGTCCGATCCGTGTGTCCCCGGCCTTGAGGGACCATGTGTCCTGACGCCGTGGTCCAGACGGTCTGATAGTCTGCTTACAATAACGTGACTCTCCATCTTAACCTGAACGCACGTTTTCCCCTCCATTACAGCCACCTGAACCAGAAAACGCAGTTTGAGAACCCCGTGGAGGAAGCCAAGAGGAAGAAGCAGTCCGGGCAGGCGGAGCCGGGACCCTCCAAGCCAGGTAGAGGCCGTTCCCGGCCGGGAAAGTCACACACCGAGCGACCGGAAGGCCACTGAGCTGTCACTGGTGGGGCTCTCGGATTCAGCAGAGAACGTCTAATTCTTGTCCTGGGAGAACAGGACTGATCTTAAGGAAGTGGCAGAGGTTTTGAGGCTCCGGACAGTGTTCTCACGCTGCTTACGTAGGAAGTGCGGGATGGTTGGGAGAAGGGACTGAAGGAGCCCTTGGCTGCGGGTTTGAGGCTCTGATCTGAAGATCAAATTGTTTTGTAAAGTTTAAGGCCAGGGCAGTGTCAGATCCTCACTCATTGTGTCTCCTAAGCCAGTGGCCTGCAAACTCATTAGTCAACAGAGCCAAATGTCAACAGTACAACGATGGGAATTTCTTTTGAGAGCCAAATTATTTAACTTAAACTTCTTCTAACGCCACTTCTTCAAAATAGACTTGCCCAGTATTTTGTGGAAGAGTCACCCTCAAGGGGCCAAAGAGCCGCATGTGGCTCACGAGCTGCAGTTTGCCGACCACAGTCCTAACCTAATTGCTTAGGTCTGGTATCAGTACCAACTCAGGATTCCTCATTAACGGATAGGAACAAATACTAAAGAAACTCACCCTATTATCTGCCTCTCAAATGGGATGGTGTTGATAATATTAGGATCATTGGGGGAACGTTTTTAAACCATAGGTCCTGAGAATTTGAGGAGCCTTGCCCATGGGTATTTTTGAAAACACTGCCCAGAGATTTCTCTCCTTCTATTCACCCCTCCCTATCTCCTCCCTCTCTCCCTCTGTCCTCGGTAGCCCTATCGATGGTCTTTGTGGTCATACTGTGTGATGGAGTGTGATTCTCCCCACCTCCATTGTCCATGAGAGAAACAATCTTTCTCATAGCTGCTCCTCAGAAACAGTCCCCCTGCCTGAAGTTTTGCGTTTGATTTAGCCAAATATTTTTAGTTTAACCACATGGTAGAGCACTTACCATATGCCCAGTGCTTTGCTGGGCGTAAGGTATTCAAAAGCGATTGGGGGCGGGCAGGGGAGGGGAGTGATTAGGGGCAAGACAGGTCTTGCCCTCAAGGGATCACAGCGGAGCTTACCAAGGGGAATGGACACAGAGTGTGGTCCCTGACTTTAGGAGCTTAGAACTACGCTGTCCCTCCCATTTTGGCTCCAGATGAGGGACTCTTTGGGGTGAGAGGAAGTAAGTGCAAACAAGGAGGAGGAAAAGTAGGTGCTTTTACCTTTCCAATAACATGGAAGAACCTTAGAAAAGAGTAAGGACACACGCTAAGTTTTACTTTCCAGTGATCCAGTTTATGAATTTACATTCTAACTGTTCTGCGACATGAAAAGTCCCTCTAATTTTTTCTTCTCCGTGGTTCGTTATATTTAAATTATACAGACAACCTTGAAAAAGTGCCTTCACGGTCACGGTAGTGATTTTTTTTTTTATCCTCAAACCCATATCTCATTTCGGCGCAGACACGGAGAAATCCCACTTCACGCGGGACCCGGCCCAGCTGAAAGGCGTCCTGGTGCGGGCGTCGCTGAGGAAGAGCGCCATGGGCTTCGGCTTCACCATCATCGGCGGCGACCGGCCGGACGAGTTCCTGCAGGTGAAGAACGTGCTGAAGGACGGCCCCGCTGCGCAGGACGGGAAGATCGCTCCAGGTGGGCACGTTAATAAACACACACGTTTGTGTTCTGGCTGTTACCACCATCGCCATCAGCCTCCGGGCAGCACCCCCGACTGAGCACTTTTAAATCCCTGTAGCCAAATGGATGAGGAAGCCCTGGGTAATCACCGTTTGGCTGGACTAAGCTAACGATGTATGAGCCATCTCAGAGAACTACCCTGTTTCCCCGAAAATAAGAGTGTCTTATGTTAATTTTTTCTCCCAAAGTTGCGCTAGGTCTCACTTTCAGGGGATGTCTTATCTTTCCATGCGCTAGGTCTTATTTTCAGAGGATGTCTTATTTTCGGGGAAACATGTGAAGCTTTGGTTTTCTTCCGTTGTGTGGGGCATTTTGGAGCCACCTAACACTGACCTAGACCTGCTCTGAAAAAGGATCCGTTGTGATGTTGATGGTGACGTCCACAAACGGTTATGTCCTGAGTTCTCTCCCAGGCTGCCTTGTCTGCTTGCTTCCTTGGCCTCACTGGTCGGGAATAAAGCTGAGCCGCCACGTGAAGGACGATAGACACAGATATTGCCATTGCTACAGAGCTGCATGAGTTTGTATGAAATAGCTTTCCTAACTTCTAGAAAGTTCTCTAAGGCTGACCGTGTCTGTGGCAAAGGGGACATTCAGGACTAGTTACAGACCGTGCGGGAGACTCATTTTTCCAGAAGGGCTTAGTAACCCACTGAGGTTGCCTCTCATACTGTTGACTAGACTTTTTTACTCTGTTAGTTCACACACCATGCAGGCCGCACGTGGACAGCTCCCGCCGCCATCACACTACCTTTCATGATGGATGGTGGCTTATTTCCAATCAGGATACGGGATCTCTCAAATTATTCCTTCCATTTAGGTGATAGAGACTCAAAACATGAAACTTAAAATAACCAAAAGTTATGTTTATAAAGAAAATTATTTTTAGCTCTCCTCTATTTTCTTTATAAAATAAACGCTAGTGATTAAAATGAATAATAAGGGAGGTTTTCAGTTCTCAATTTTGTCTTTTTGAACATTTTGTCCATGAAATGGACATTGTATATGCTGTTAGGATTTCACAATATTCATATTTGTCCAAATTTATCTAACTTGCACAGCAACATAATACTTCCATGAAAATTCTGGCATCTTAACTAGAGGAGGAAAAGTCAAAACTTCGTTTCTAATTAGTCTAATTTCTGTATCTTAGATTATGGACAAATTTCCACAGACCAATGTTTTTAATACCGTTCATGTTGATTTTTTGGGGAAAAAAAAAAAGTTTTCTTTTATTTCAAAGAGAGGAAGGGAGAGGGAGAGAGAGAATCATTGATTGGCTGCCTCCTGCACGCCCCTAACCTGGGATGGAGCCCACAGTCCAGGCACGAGCCTGACTAGGAATCAGCCTTTCGGTGCCTGGGAAACACCCAACCAACCTCACTGGTCAAGGCTGGCCATACATAACCTGTTCAATAATCAAATCAAATAAAAGCAGCAAATGGGTAAGACAACAATACACCTTTAAGGCTGCACTAAAAACACACAGCCCATGAATGTCAAGTGGCGGTGGTCGTAATAATGCGAAATCAGGGAAGCAAAACCCAACCTTTCAGGGTTCCTTTAGCTGGCTTTTCCGTGTTTCAGTATGTTCTTTGCTTCTGTTGCCTGTTTCTGTGGCTTGTTTCTCCTGGTGATATCAGAATGACAGCAAATGGAAAACACTAGAAAGATAAAAACGCTAACATATATTCATGACAACACTAGTCTAATCGTTAGCCCTACGTTATGGATTTTAATTGCATCCTAATGGCTTCTTAAAAGTCAAGACACGAGGCGGCCTTTAAAGATGACTGTTTGTACCGGTCGCCAGCGGAGGACTTGCTCCCCGTCCGTGTGCGGAAACCCCCAGGACGACGCACCGAGCTCGTGTGGCCACGTGGGCAGGACTCGGAGGCTGTGCTAACAGTGGCGGTTTGAATTGGCAATCACTTTCAGTTTGCTTCCCTTGAGTGTGAGGCCATAGCTCTCTGCTGCAAAGATAATGAAGATTTATACATTCGTGTCCCCGTACCATCCCCAACCATGAACATGAGCTTACTGTGGTCGCAGTGTCTCTAACACGATCCTCTTCCACCAGGCGATGTCATTGTGGACATCAACGGCAGCTGCGTCCTGGGTCACACCCACGCGGACGTGGTCCAGATGTTCCAGCTGGTGCCCGTCAACCAGTACGTGAACCTCACCCTGTGCCGCGGGTACCCGCTCCCGGACGACCCCGAAGACCCCGCCGTGGACATGGTGGCCGCCACTCCCGTCCTCAACGGGCAGTCGCTGGCCAAGGGCGAGAACGCCCAGGACGTTAAGCCGGGGGCGACGGGTCCGGACCAGAACGGGAAGCCGGGGCCGGTCCCGGCCAGCGACCGCCTCAACGGGCCCTCGGACGCGGGCGAGCAGCGGGCGTCCGTGGCCTCCTCGGGCGGCTCCCAGCCCGAGCTCGTGACCGTCCCGCTGGTCAAGGGCCCCAAGGGCTTCGGGTTCGCCATCGCGGACAGCCCCGCCGGCCAGAAGGTGAAGATGATCCTGGACAGCCAGTGGTGCCCGGGCCTCCAGAAGGGCGACGTCATCAAGGAGATCTACCGCCAGAACGTGCAGGGCCTCACGCACCTGCAGGTGGTGGAGGTGCTGAAGCAGTTCCCTGTGGGCGCCGACGTGCCGCTGCTCATCCTGCGAGGAGGTGAGTGCGGCCGGCCGGCCGGCCACGGTCACTGCCCACGCGTGCTTCTCGGCCACCGTCCTTCCGGCAGACTCCGCTGGCCCCCCGTGGGCATGTTCCGGAAGGTTCTCTCTGACTGCTTCAGTGAGCAGTGTCCTTTGCAGCAGATTCTTGAGTTATTAATGGTTTCCCTCATGGATTCCCTCCCCTCTCTATGCGTTGAAATGCGTTATTAATGGTTTCCCTCATGGATTCCCTCCCCTCTCTATGCGTTGAAACATCTGATGTGTGGCTGGAAGGACAGGACAGAGCCATGCTGGGCAGTCGCCTTGTGCTGCTCCGCGGGAAATAGGTCCTCCTCCCTCCATGTTCTCTGCGGAGGACGGCGGGAGGAGCTGACTGTCCATCCCCGGTGCTCAGCCGGGGCCTCTGTCCCGGGCGGGATGCTGGCCAGGGCTGGCCGGCTGGGACCGAGCGGGGTGTCACACAGAGCGCTCACCTGCTCTGCAGGGGCATCGTGATAGTTCGCACTCAGAGCTTCCGCCTTCAGCTTTTTTTTCTGTCCCTGACGGTTCATCAGACCCACCCGCAGTGCCCACGGGAGAGAAATCACGTTTTTATCTCCCAAGGCCGTCAGCCGGCACAGAGCGCTCCGGCGGTGACACCCCATCCCAGGGCCCAGGCACAGTGTGCCTGCTGACGGCCTCCGTACCCCGCACCGAGCGAGGCCGGGACTCGGAAGGAGAAAGCCTGGCCTCCACTCCCCGTCTCTTTGCTTTCAGTTTTCACTTTGGAGGCACCGGAGAATGTAACTGCATTGGGGCGCCCCCCCCCTCCCCATTCTCACTTCTTGAACTGATTTGTTTCTGCTCCGGGGGGTGAGGCAGGAGGTGCTGAGAGTGCAGGGGGACCTCTCTGGGGCCGGAGGGCCCCGGCCTCCAAGGGCGGAGCCGACTGGTGTGTGGCGCGGTTGGGCCGGGCCCTCAGCTCCTACCTGCCCCTCCCCACCCCCGGACCTCCCACCCCCGTCCCCCTCCCCCACCCCCGTTGTCTGTGCGCTGTAGGGAAGTTGTGTTACTCCATCTGGACTTTGGCTGTCTCATCTGTAAAGCAGTGACAGCATTTATGCCTTAGGGGGTCATAAAGCTGGAATGAGGTCATACACGGCAGTGCCGGGCACTAGGAGGTGCCGGACAGAACCACCAGCGGCGCCGTCGCAAACAGTTCATCACACGTGTTTTCCTGTTTTTAAAACGCAGCTTGTGTTTTGTTTTGTTTTTCAAGGTCCTCCTTCACCAACGAAAACTGCCAAAACTGTGAGTACACAGCGGCCCTCAATGGCTCCTTCCCAGCACACTGCCCCCCTCTGCCAGGACACCCCCCCCCCCGCGGGGTGCCTGCCACAGAGACGTGGGGCCCCCGCCCGGCTGTCAGACACTCGGGGAAGCGGGGGTCAGAAGGCCGCGGAGGAGAGCGTGCTCTCGGGCTGAGTGTGTGTGAGGAGGGACCCGAGAGGCCTGCAGAGCGCCCCTGCCCCAGCAGGACGGCGTGGGCACCGAAGAGGCTGCTCGGGGGCCCCCCTCTGGCGGAGAGGAGCTCCCGGAGGGCTGTGGACGCTCACATCCCCGCCCTGAGCCCGGAGGGAAGACCTGCTGCCTCACCCAGGCTCGTGGGGGCTGCGGACCACGGCTCTGTGGCCCCTGGAGGGTGGCTCTTCCACAAAATGCCACGGCCTGGGCGAGTCTCTTTTGAAGAAGTGGCGTTAGACGTTTAAGTTTAAAAAATGTGGCTCTCCAAAGAAATGTCAATCGTTGTGCTGTTGGTATTTGGCTCTGTGGACTAGTGAGTTGCCGACCACTGGTTTAACCCTCGGCCCCGAGAGGGAACGCCCGGGGGGCCACGGAGGGCCGGGCTTCGACCTGCCCTAGAACCGCCCTCAGCTGGCACACCGTCCAGACACCCGTTCTACGCGCTCCTCCTCCCCCGGGCTGTTTAAATGCTAAGCGAAGCCCTTCCCTTCCAGAGGGCGGACAGAAAGGAGCACGCGGGCAGCTCGGAGGCCGTGAGCGAGCCGGTGCCGCAGCCTCTGCCCTTCCCGCCCAGCATCGTGCGGGCCAGCTCCCCGAAGCTGGACCCCTCAGAGGTCTACCTGAAGTCCAAGTCCCTGTACGAGGACAAACGTGAGTGCTCGTGGCATGTCTCGGGGGAGCCGGCGACTAAATCAGCCTCCTTATTATTTGTTTTATAAACGGGGGCCCACCCTCTTTTAAGACCTTTCTTCATTCCAGCCTAATATGGCTCAGGGCTTCTTCCAGTCCCAGTCAACATTCATTCGTTCTCTTCGTTGCTTTTTTTTTTTTTCTTTTCAAAAGCACATATTCAGTGCCTACTGTGTACCCAGCATCAAAGCAATGGGAACGCAGAGATGGATAAATAGGTCACGTGGGCCCCGCACCCGAAGACAGGTGCACATGCCCCCCTCTCCTCCATAGCACCATGTGTTCACACCGATAAGATTACAGCCACGCAGCAGCTGCTCCGGACTTAATCTCTGGTGATTGCCCCCTTTGGGGTTCAGAGTCAGACCACGGGAACAGAGCTGAGTCCAAACCTCTGCCATTTTCCTCCCTGTGAGGCTGGGCCCTCCATTTCCCCAGTGAGAAAATGGGGCCAATGATAGGCGTTAGCCGTCACTTTTAAAATTAAATTTCATTTTGCAAAATTAGGCTAAGTCAAGCACAACACGCGGAATGCTTTTCTGAAACAAAACATCAGGTTAGGAGCAGAACTAAGACATTTTACGGACTCTCTCTTTCCAGGATTTGCCCATCTGTTAATTTAGGCAATTTACAGAATCAGATATCAAACTTGAATTAGGGTAATTTTGAATTAAATATTGTAATGCTGATTTGAAGGCATGAGGAGTTAATGGCAGTGTAGCACTGAGCACATGAACATGAAGGTAAATCTATGTGTGTGTGTGTGTGTGTGTGTGTGTGTGTGTGTATGTGCTTTAATTGATTTCAGAGAGTAAGGGAGAGGGAGAGACAGAAAGAAATATCAATGATAAGAATCATTGATCAGCTGCCTCCTCCATGCCCCCCACTGGGGATCGAACCCACAACCTGGACATGTGTCCTGACTGGGAATTAAGCCGTAACTTCCTGGTTCAGAGGTCACTGTTCAACCACTGAGCCACACCGCCAGGTGTAAGGGTAAAACTTGATACAAAGTTTTGTTTGGAACTCAGAGCAAAGATTTACGATTGAATTACTTTTTTTTTTGTTGTTGTGGTGTTTTACTCTTGGGTAAATTTTTGCAATTTATTGAACTCTATAAAACTACCCTCCAAAATACTGAACGTAACTTCATTTTAATCCTTTTAAAATAAACCAAAGTACTTATTTATGTGTTTAATATCTTCTGGTTTTCCTTAGCGCCAAACACCAAAGACCTGGATGTGTTTCTCCGGAAACAGGAGTCGGGGTTCGGCTTCCGGGTGCTGGGCGGAGACGGCCCTGACCAAGCTGTGAGTGCCCCCGGACGGCTGCCTGGGAACGTGTTCAGTGGCAGTTTTGTAGAATCGGGGGTTTTTTGTTTTGTTTGTTTGTTTGTTTTTTGCCGTTTTCTGTTTTGTTTTATTTTTAAATATTTTGTCTCCTGTCAGTTTCGTTAACATGAGAATAGCATTTCCATTAGCTCCTGGTCCCTCCTTAGCTTGTGCAGCTAAACGCTGGCAGTGGAAACTGGATCTGCCGGCCCTCAACTGGACAGGAATTAATCTCTCCGTGTGCCTGGTGCTTATTTAAAACCTCTTTCTTCCCTTTTGCCTTCATTAAAGAGATCGTAAGGCATTTCCCTTTTCTAAGAAACCTGTAACTCAAAGTCCTATTTACCACAGTCGCTCTGTCTTCTGAACGTTCCGCAAACTGGGCATGAGCCATGAATACTGTGTCACCTCATCCGTATTGCTCACCTCATTATTAATGGGTTGACACTTTTATGCTCAGAAATTTGCCATTTCATTTGTTACCTACGAAACCAGAAAGATATAAAATAATTAATGTTTCTGTCCAGAAAGCATGAGGGTTATGTTTTGCAGAGCATTTAAAATCCAGAATTTTATTCATACACGATTCTCCGGTAAAGTGAAAGAACAAACGTGGCGGCTAGCATTTTTTAAAGTTCTGCCCCTAGTTTGAATGACAAAGAAGTAATGCGCTTCTTTAGAATTTAAGAATGTATTCGAAGTGGGTTTTTTGTCTAATATCAAGAAAGACTGAATCATGGTGATGCTGGCAAGTTAGGTGAGTAACAATAATCTTTTCAAGTGACAGGCTTTCTTCTGTTTCTGAATAGGACATTTGATTTCTGTCTTATAAATGTATCCTGGTGAGTATTGTCGAATACACTTAATAGTTTCCCCTATGTAGGCCAGGCATAGGAACCTTGATTATTTCTGATGATATAGTTTTGTTTGAGCCCGGCTGGTGTGGCTGAGTGGTTGAGCACCGACTCCTGAGCCAAGAGGTACCAGTTAGATTCCTGGTCAGGGCACATGCCTGGGTTCCTGACTTGATCCCCAGTAGGGGCCATGCAGGAAGCAGCTAATCAATGTTTCTCTCATCATTGATGTTCCTCTCTCTCTCTCTCTCTAAAATCAACAAAAATATATTTTTTTTTTTTAAAGAGAGAGGAACATTTTTTGTTTGATTGCTTCCTGTTGTATTGTGGTCATTTAGACATTTTAAAATTTTATCTCAAACCACCTGGAAGAAACCTTTCTCTCCGATGTCGGGTTTCAGCAGCTGTGTCCTGGCCCCGACTGCAGGGACTGCTACATGACAGGACTTTCCCTGCGGCCAGCGGGGTGACCTAGACACGCTCACCTGGAGGCAGCTGCGCCGTAGCCACTCTGCCCCCTCAAAACAGCCACTGCCTCGAGACTCAGGAGCCAGAAATGCTTCTGTCGGAAGTACTGAACCTGGGCTGACAGCCGTAGGGGATGGCAGCGGCGTAGGAATTATCCCGCGGCTGTGACAGTGCGAGGGATTTTCCTGACGGCGACAGACCCCACAGAACGGGGCTTTTTGAGTGCAATGACTTGGTTTTGTTGTTGCGATGGCGGTGATGGTGGCACCTGTTTAACGTTATTGCCAACTCGGTGCGTTCTGCCTTCTTTGTGCCCAACCCGGGGGTCCAGCAGGGGCCCCGTGGTGCCGTTACTTAAAGGGCCGCTGTCCGCGGTACCGCCTCCAAGATAGAGCCTCAGTCGCCTGTGGCTTTGCATGGTGCTGGGCCTGGCACTGGGTCGGGAGCCTTCACCAGGTGGTTGGGGATCGTGGCCGGTCCTGGCAGACTGCACAGCCAGACCCCCGCCCCGCTGTCTCGCCAGATCTACATCGGGGCCATCATCCCGCTGGGCGCTGCGGAGAAGGACGGCCGGCTGCGCGCCGCCGACGAGCTCATGTGCATCGACGGCATCCCCGTGAAGGGCAGGTCCCACAAGCAGGTCCTGGACCTCATGACCACGGCGGCTCGCAACGGCCACGTGCTCCTGACCGTCCGGAGGAAGATCTTCTATGGAGGTACTGGCCCCGCCGGCCGAGGGTCACGGAGAGCGGAGACTCGGTCCACTCCCCCGGGGCTGTGATGGCATGTGGCTTGTGGGAATAGTGTGTGAGATTACCCATTGGGTGGGACCCAGGGCCTCATTGTGGAAGGTCATGGAAGGTCGGAAGGATTCAGAAATAATAATCACACTGTCAAAAAAGAAAAATGGGGAGAGGGGGGGGGGTGTCCATAATAAAATTAGATCAATATATTGATGATTTCACCAGGTTCAATCTGCCCTCTTAAAACAAATACAGAGTTATCTGGTCATACTGAGGCATCCCACTCACTGAATATCCAAAGATTTTGGGTCCCGGTGAAATCCTGCATGCTCAGAGGACAGACGCCTCCCCTTGAGGAGTTTGGGAGAATGTAGTTGAACGTTTATGGAGAGCTTTCTGTGTCCCAGGCATGTGGATGCTGTCGTTGAATCTTGACAACGCTGTGAGGTAGATACGGGCAGGATCTGGGTTTACAGTTATTCCCACAGAGGCTGGGACAGAACTGGCCGGATGGACCCGGGTGTTTAATGACAGCCCGCCATCTGGACTGTGTGCTCAGATACAAATTTCCCTTCCATTTTTCTCATCAGCAGCTTTGTGTATGTTAGATAGGAATTTTGAGGGGCCAATTCTGGCCACTTACAGTTTTAAAAGGACAACCCCGTAGCGCGGACGGTAAGTCCCCGCCCCCCCCCCACAAAGGCGGGGGCACATACCCCTTAGGACAGGGGTCGGTCGGCACACTCATCAGTCCACAGAGCCAAATAGCAACAGCACAACAATTGAAATTTCTTTGGAGAGCCACATTTTTTAAACTTAAACTTCTCCACTTCTTCAAAATAGACTCGCCCAGGCCGTGGTATTTTGTGGGAGAGCCACACTCAAGAGACCAAAGAGCCGCATGTGGCTCTCGAGCTGCGATTTGCCGACCACTGAGTTAGGAGTTCCGGCCTGGCACAGCGAGGACGTCCAGTGTCTATTGCCTCGATGGTCTTTGCATTCCCCCCCCCTTTTTTTTCCTATTGATTAAGGCGTTTGCATTACTCTAACACAGAAGCCAGGCACTGTGCTTTGATGGCCGCGTCCCAAGCAAGTCCAGCCCGGGAAGATGGGGTGTTGAGGGGTGCACACGGATGCTGGCACACTGTCGCCTCCGAGTGGCCCAGGACTCAGAACAGAACACACGCGGGGGGAGGCCTGGCCACGCTGGACGCTGGCAGCGCCCTGAGGAAGCTGCAGGCCCACGTGGTATCACCGGAGGCATTTAGCTCATTCATTCTAACCATGAATTACGCCCGGAAACCCTTGATTTCTTACTTTCTTCATTAACGATTGGACGCTGGTGGCACTTGGTTGAGCTTCAAAAGCTGTCTCAGGGTGGCGTCGATTTTGAGCCAAAACAGATAATGTGCTTGTGTATCGTCCGTGGTGGTGTGTTGTGGTTGTTCTGATGGCCTGTATCTATTTATGGCACAAAATTTGCCTATTTAAAAAAAAACACAAAAAAACAAAACAGGTGTAACTTCTAGGTTAACTGGCCGTTTGCTGGAGACCCTGGGAAATCTAACCATTTCAAGGACTGTATTCCTATGAAATTTGACGGAAGCTTTGAAAAACCCCTCTCCAGTGAGGTCCCGCTGTGTATTTTCCCAGCTGTTTACATTAAGGGTGTTTCGGTCTGCAGACAGCTGCTGCCCACATCTGCCCGCAGATTATGCCCGGAGCTTGGCGGGCAGCTTTCCTGTCTTGTCATTAGGAACTGAATGTGTCGTGACAAGCTTAGCACAAACACGCGTTCATTCTCACAATGACCATGTGTGTCGATCGTGTCTGTTGTAGAGAAGCAGCCGGAGGACGACAGCCCCCAAGCCCTCCTCTCGGCACAGAACGGGTCCCCGCGCCTGATCCGAGCGGACGCCCCCACCAGGCCCGCGCCCCCCGAGGCCTACGAGGTCGTCCTGCAGCGGAAGGAGAACGAAGGGTTTGGCTTCGTCATCCTCACCTCCAAAACCACGCCGCCTCCCGGAGGTGAGGGCTGCTGGGCCTGCTGTCCTGACCGACCGGCCGCTGGGTCCGGCTTCCTGAGTCCGCCCCGGGGGCTCACGAAACTGGCCAGGAATGATGTTCACGTGGCTTAGAGACGTCGCCCTTTGAGAGTGATGAGAATTCTCTTTATTTTCCAACTAGAGGCCCGGTGCATGAAATTCATGCACTCGGGGATGGGATGGGGGAGTCTCAGCCCAGCCTGCGCCCTCTCGCAGCCCAGGATCCCTCAGGGGATGTCCAACTGACAGCTTAGGCCCACTCCCCGCCCACTCCTTGTGGGGAGCAGGCCTAAGCCGGCAGTCAGACATCCTTAGCACTGTCACAAAGCTCCTGCTACCGCCACTGCACTCGCCAGCCGTGAGCCCGGCTGCTGGCCTGAGCTCCTGCATTGAGCATCTGCCCCCTGGTGTCCAGTACACATTATAGCGACCAGTCATTTGGCCATTCGGTCGATTTGCATATTAGCCTTTTATTATATAGGATGAGGTGATCTGGGCCAGACCTCCTACTCTGTGTGTCATCTCAGCCTCCAGGAACGAAGGGGTGCGTGGCTCGGTTTGCATCAGGAAGAATTCTGTGGCAGTATGTCAGGGATGGGACCTGGCTCCCGGTCTAAGGACAGGGCCTAGGTTTTTAATACGGGGCACTGGTGGTGTTTTAATTAGGAGAAATCATGTCTGCAGCAATGAATCCACTGCTAGAAGCAGCTGAGAGGAAGCAAACAGATTAACAGAAAACCTTGACCCAGATATGTCTTCAGTTGTCCCTTTGTGTTATTTAACGGCAATTGCCGTATCTTGCCTCTAAAGGGACCTGCTTGTGTATGCTTCATTGAAAGGCAAACATGTAGTCAGAACCTTTGGAAATTAACCTAGATATCCTGAACTGGCACACGGGAATATTCTCCTCTGTGAGGGACAGATGTATTCACTCCCTTACCAGAGAGGAACGATCTCCAGTGTGTTCAGGGCTGTTAGGATTCACCAAATTAAAAAAAAAAAAAAAAAAAAAAAAAAAAAAAAAAAATTGTCTCGTCGTAGTGTTTCTAAGAAATAATTATCTCTAAATATAATTAGAAAATCCAAATGAGTAAGAGAACCGGCAAATGATTCTTTATGTAGCATGTTTGTCTGGTAACTTCATTTTCCTAAGTTGGTAAAAAGCATCTCTGATGCCTCTTGCCTTTCTGAGCGTTTATTTCTGGGGCCGAGATGGTCACTAAGATCTCAGGGACAAAAGCAGACACTTCCGGGAGCCCGGGGATGTGCAGGAACCTCGCGGAAACGAATGCCTGCGTGCAGAGGAGGAAGCCGGTGACACAATGAGTTATGGCCCCGGTGTCAGCCACTGCTCACTGCTACTCCTTTCCATTTTCCATAAGCAGTTGCTATGGCAACGCTTGGGACTGGAACTGTCTGTGGTGGTGGGAGGACAGTTACGTGGCCTGATTCGGGAAACTGAAAGAAAGCAGCTTTTAGGGGCCTCTCGTGTTCTGTCCTTGGAAATCAGGATTTCCAAACACAAGTGACCATCTCAGATGGTCGGATTCTGACCCTCAGAGCACATAGTAACCCAGCCTGCAGGTCAGCCACGGCCGTGATAGAGGCTACGCACCCTTTATATGGAAGCTATTCCTCTTGTCCAACTATAAAAACCAGGGCAGGGTCCATCTTCACCATAAAACCAAGCAACATGGAGGAATTCTGTAAAATAAGTTGCATACCTTAAACTGCTTAACACTTTCACGGTGATTCTATTTAAAACATATATTACACTTGAATATATTACATATTAGATGTATTCTTATTTGTGTGTATTATATTTGTTTATACTTAAAATGTTTAACTTTTTTTTTTTAATATTTTTATTGATTTCAGACAGGAAGGGAGAGGGAGAGAGAGACAGAAACATCAACGATGAGAATCACTGATCAGCTGCCTCCTGCACGCCCCACTGGGAACCAAGACTGCAACCCGGGCATATGCCCTGACCGGGAACCGAACCTGGGACCCTTCAGTCCACAGGCTGATGCTCTATCCACTGAGCCACACCAGCGAGGGCTATTTTAACTTGAGTTGTTTCTTGCCGTTTTGGCGGTTTTGGTGCCATCCGTCTCTGTACGAGAGTGGCATCCGTGTTGGGCTCTGCGGCGGGGACCGTGGGTTCGGCCCTGCTGGAGGCTTCTGGTCTGGGCACGTCCTTCCCCTGTCAGAGCTCCAGGTTCCTCTGTGCGGGGGGGACGGTGGTGGTGCTTCTGGTCTCACTTGTGTCCAGGGAGGAAAGGAGCTACCGCCCAGAGGCCGCAGCCCGGGCCCGCCGCCGTCTTTGGCATTATTTGTGGAATTGTTTGTCACTGTCTCTTGATCTTTTTTTAAGAGAAACTTTGAGAAGTTTATTAATACTTGAGTAATGAGATGAGGAAGAAAGCTCCATTAGAATGTACGATTGAAGCAGCAGCTAATGTGCGGCAGGAAATGAGTGTTTGCAGCTCATTAATTATCAGCTTGAATAGTGAATCAGGCTGAGGTTGGCACCGCATCTCACATCAAGTCCTTGGGATTTTCCGTCGGGTGCGGAACCAGAACTGATCATTCCGCTCGCATCTCGTTAACGGACTCGCCGGACGCCTCCTAGAACCCCCGCATCTCCCGGGCACGGAGGAGGGCGGGGTGGGGGGACGAGGAGCCTCACGCAGAGATGGAGCCAGCGCTGGGCCCTGCGGGGCAGAGGGTTGGTGAGAGGAGGGTTCGCATCAGAGCACAGGGCCTGCCTGTCCGCCAAGGCCTTCTTCACGGGCCTGGGTTGGTCTGATCGGCCCTCAGCTCAGTGTGGGTTATTTTTTCCTGCCGACACTTGTCACAAGGGAAGTTCCCAGTGGCACCTCTCACACCAGTTATGTCTGCGGTTCCACACCCGTGACTTTGGGAGATCGGGGCGCGGGCCCAGCACCTTGCTGGCGGGCCAGTCATTCCACACATTCGGATCCCTAACCCAGAACTGCCGAGTCCTCCCCAGGAGGCTGAACTGCGTTCATTTACAAGGTCCCTCCCTCCGGGGAGTGATGCCCCACGAGAGACTGTGGGCCGTCTCATTGTCACCGTCTCTAAAACAGCCCGCGATGCGGTGCAGCCTGAACGGCCAGCGGCAGACCAGGGCCGGCAGGTTGGCGAGGTGTTCCCATCAGTGCCAGCGAGGTGGGCGTCTCGGCAGGGCTGTGGGTGCCAGTGTAAAGACCGGGGGAAGGTCATGGTGAACGGAAGACAGCAGAGAGGCTGGGATGCTGCAGCTGCAGCTACGTGAGGTGAATGCGTGTGGCCTGGCCAGCGTGGCTCGGTGGATGAGCATCGACCTGTGAGCCAGGAGGTCATGGTTCAATTCCTGGTCAGGACACATGCCCAGAATTTGGGCTAAACCCCCTGTAGGGGGCACGCCGGAGGCAGCCGATCACTGATTCTCTCTCATCATTGATGTTTCCTCTCTCTCCCTCTCAGAAAGCAATAAAAAAATATATTTTTTTAAAAAAGAGAATGCATAAGGGCGAGAAGGGGAAGGTTATAGATACAGAAATAGCTGCATTTGGACAGGAGGCTCACGTGTGATGCTTTTTTTTTTTTTTGCTGTATTTTTTTTTTCCAAGAACTTTCTTTGCTGTTGTGCTAAGTGTTGCTGTTGTGGTAAATCTAACCCTCACAGCTATTTTAAGTAATTGTTTTTCTTACAGTTATTCCTCATAAAATCGGCCGCGTCATCGAGGGAAGCCCCGCGGACCGCTGTGGGAAGCTGAAGGTGGGAGACCACATCTCGGCGGTGAACGGGCAGTCCATCGTGGACCTGTCCCACGACAGCATCGTCCAGCTCATCAAGGACGCCGGCGCCACTGTCACCCTCACCGTCATCGCCGAGGAAGGTAGGGAGCCGTCGACCAGACGCTCTGAGGGGCACCTGGAGTCTCGTGGTTTGCCTTTCCCATTTTATTTATAAACTAGATGCCCAGGGCATGAAATTCCTGCCAGAGCAGGGTCCCTAGTGGCTGCTGGCTGCTGGCTGCTGGCCTTCCTTTGTTCCATGCTGCTCCCTGGTGGTCAGTGCACGTCATAGCGAGCCATCCAATTCCCAGTCGTTCAAACTCCTGAGGGGACACTGCCTATCAGGCTTTTATACGTCGATAGGTATTTCAGAAGGGTAGGGAGAGGGAGCGAGAGATGGAAACATCAATGATGAGAATCATTGATCGGCTGCCTCCTGCACGCCCTACCCCGGGGATCGAGCTTGCAACCCAGGCCTGTGTCCTGTCCGGGAACGGAACCGTGACCGTCTGGTTCATAGGCTGACGCTCAGGCACTGAGCCACGCCGGCCGGCAGCCTTTCCCATTTAACGGGCTAACGAGTTTACCACAAAGTGTCGGTAGCTCAAGACAGCAGCAGCTCCGGCTGGCGCGCGCGGCCGTTTGTGTGCCGGGAGGTAAGCAGCGGCAGCGGAGAGAGCGGCAGACTTTTCCGACCGTGTGTCCTTTCAAGTGAAAGTCTTACGTCTGCTGAGAGGAGCCCTCTGAGAAGCTCGGGCACAGAGCCTGGGCGCCAGGCCCAGCGCCCTGTGAGGGCGAGGGGAGTGGGCGGGAATGGCCAGCAAATGGGGCGAAACCAAACGCACTCAGTGTCTCGCTTTGCTCTGAAGCTGCCTTTGGTCAGGGATTCCTCTTATACTTAGGAGCCATTTTGAGTGGCACCGGCTGTTCTTGACGAACTGCATGGTGCTCGGCCGGCTCATTTCCCGGCCGCGTGAAGCCCCCGCGGAGGAGCCTGCAGCAGCAGAGGGCGGGCTCGGGCCTGTGTGTTGTTGAGAGGTTGTGCACTGAGTGCGTCTTCGTGTCCGTTCCCCTACAACCCTGCACCCCGGCCTGTCTGTTCTCTTCCTGCGGCCTCACCCCACACGCTTCCACCTCCTGTCCGGCCCGGGGCCCTCCACCCCTGTGAGCCCGGGCGATGGGCAGCCGATCAGCCTCGCTCAGCGTCAGGGTCCCGTCACCGCTGTTCCCCTCTCCCGGGCACTTCGCACCTCCTGTGTGTGATGTCCGGACGGGATAGAGCGTGGGAGTTTCCGCTTTAGAGCCGGTCCGACGGGCCCGGTGACTGCCGCGGCCGTGGCTGTGTCTGCTCGGAGCTGTGCTCGGAGCCACATCTGCCTCCAGGCAGCGGGGCTGGCGCCGCTGCCCGATGCAGGAACATGGGCCTTTCCTGGCCTCCCTGCGCTCTCAGAAAGCCTGCCTGCTGTTTTCTAAGCATCCGCCACCTCTAGGGTGACTGTGCTGGAGTTCAGGGCCAGGCGAGATCACTGCTCCGGGTGAGGGACGCGGCTGGAGGCGCGTGGGGCGGGCGGGCCGGCCTCTGTCCCCCTCAGTGTGTGAGGTGGGGTGAGCCCCGGAGCCACAGGGGTTCCCGGAGCCGTCCTCGCCGGCAGGACCCGAGCGGCTTCCTCCCTGCCCCTCCTGCTGGGCGGACGGCCCCCATGGGGGGGCGGGGCAGTGTGTGGGTAAGAAGTGACTCCTGTCCTCAGACATGGACGTGACCCAGCAGACGGGACAGGCGGCCATGGTCCTCCGACGGCTGCTCGGCGGCGGGAAAGGGCATCGTGCACTGTCTCGGGCTCTGGGTCCACTCGGCCTCCATGTTTTTGGGGTACACATGCTTAGCTCTGCTTTTCCTCCTTTGAACAGAGCACCATGGCCCACCGTCAGGAACCAACTCGGCCAGGCAGAGCCCGGCCCTGCAGCACCGGCCCCTGGGCCCGGCCCAGGCCAACCATGTGCCTGGGGACAGGTGAGGCTTCTCTCCTCAGCACCCCCACCTCGCCCCCCCCCCCGATTTCCCCATCCCCCACCCCCCCAGTCCCACACACCCCTCCCCCCCCCCGCCCCGCAGTGAGGAGCAGCCAGCGCCCAGGTCAGCATGAGAACCTGCATCTTCCACCTTTAGGTCCTTCCTGGCCGCCCCTCCCCAGCACAGCCCGACTCTCCATTACTCCCCACACCCCTCACGTAGCCCCGGCCCCACAGAGATGCTGTCTCCTAGGCAACCCGAGCAGAGCAGTGCTCATGCCTATTTATTTCCTCCTCGCTCCAAACATCGGCCCTAGGCACTCGGCTACTACCCTGTTTCCCCAAAAATAAGACAGTGTCTTATATTAATTTTTTTCTCCCAAAGTTGCGCTAGGTCTTATTTTCAGGGCATGTCTCATCTTTCCATGTGCTAGGCCTTATTTTCGGAGGATGTCTTATTCTCGGGGAAACACAGTAGACGCGTGCAGCCCCTCGGCGCTGGCGTCAGCAGAGCCGTCTGGCTGGGGCGAGGTTGGCTCTCGGGGCCCTGGCCCAGCACCCTGTCCGGCTGGAGCCCGGCCCCACTCGGGGCGTTGTGGGGCGGCCGGGCCCGCTCTGGGGAACGGGAGAAGCTGCTTCGGGTGAGCTCAGCTCGGCGCCCGGCTTCTCCCCGCAGTGACACCGGGAAGGACGCCGCCTACAGACCCTCGTGGGCGGACAAGCACCTCCCGCAGCCAGACCCGGCGGCCGCAGTGGGCAGCCGGCACAACCAGGTGAGACGCCCCCCCGGTGCACCCTGGGTGTGTTTTTTTATTGCAAATCAGATTTTTTTTTTTTAAAAAAAATATTTTTTATTGACTTCAGAGAAGAAGGGAGAGGGAGAGAAAGAAACATCAGTGATGAGAGGAAATCATTGATCGGTGCCCCCCTGCTCACCCCACACTGGGGATTGAGACCGCAACCTCGGTACGTGCCCTTGACTGGAATCGAACCTGGGACCCTTCAGTCCGCAGGCCAGTGCTCTGTCCACTGAGCCACACCTGCTAGGGCACAAATGAGATAAATTTGTTCCAGTCAGTCACTGCTGCGGACCTACTGTGAGGCTGGCCTTCCGTTCGCTTCCAGGAGAGAGGGGAGAGGGACAGGAAGGTCTGCCCCGCGGGCGGACACATCTGAACCCTGGTTGAGCACTTCAAACAGGCTCGAACTCATCGGAGGAGCTGTGGGCTCTCTCTTCCTTCAGGAAAATTAGTTAAAATGGACTTAGAGGAAGCGCGTCCCAAAGTCCTGTTCTCTGACTGACCGGCTGGCAGAGGAGACATGCAGCCCCCTGGTTCCGGCTGCATGTGTACCAGCCGCGGAGCGCCATCGCAGGGTGTGGCCGAGGGCAGACCCCGTCCCCCCCGTGAGCAGCGGCCTGAGCCTGTCTTCCTCCTGCAGGGCCCGGGCTGCTTCCCGGTGGAGCTGGAGCGCGGCCCCCGCGGCTTCGGGTTCAGCCTCCGCGGGGGGAAGGAGTACAACATGGGGCTGTTCATCCTGCGCCTGGCCGAGGACGGGCCCGCCCTCAAGGACGGCCGGATCCACGTGAGTGGCCCCTGACCTCCGCTCTGGCTCCGGGGGTGGGGGGCAGCTGCTGGGGGTCCCTGAACCCCGAGAGGCGTGTGCCTGCGGCGCCCTGACCCAGGCAGCACCCCTCCTCCCCGCGCTCCCTCCCCGTCGCACCCCTGTCCTCGCGCCCGGGGTGTTCCCTGTGGGTGCTCCCCGTGGGTGCCCCGTGGGAATCTGCTGGAGGAATAGGATGGACGGGTAATGCTTGCAGCTGATCGCCATTACTATCGAAGGATCGTCACTATTTAAGAATCGTCCTTACGGTTTAAGATTGGTTCCTGGGACTCATTGCTGGCGGGCGGGGCCTGGCCGTACAAAGCCGTCGGCGCACAGCAGCATGGGAACCTGTGAAGACGGAGAGCTGAGGAGAGGGTCTGAGTCTCAGCCGGTCCTTGGACCCGTAGCGAGGAGGAGCGCAGGTTCCAGGCAAAGCTGAGAAGCCGGCGGAAGTGGGAAGAGTCGAAGTTGAGGGATAATGTCCATGTTTAACGTGGAACCACGTCAGGGAGTCTCAGGACCCGCCACCCCCCAGGCCACACGGCCTCCCCGTGTCAGTGCGAGCCTCCCGGCCCCGGGCAGAGGCTACCCAGGCGAGGTCACTGCCAGACGGTGCGTGGCGGCTGCAGGGGGGCCCGGTCTGTCTGCTGGTGCCTGTGGGAGGCCTGTCGGCTCTCGGCGTGTTCTGAGATGATCCTGTGAACGACTGTCAGATATGAGTTTGTGATACTTTTAGTGGACGTTTTAAAAGCTGTGAGGTTGCCTTAAAAATAGTGTTTTTTGAGAGAGCCAAGTTTTTCTTTTTCCCTTCTCCTCCCACTCCTCCCCCCGAGTTTTATTTTCAGTAATACAAACCTGAACGAGAATTTGTTCTATTTGCCAAATGGTGTGCTCTCGTCCCACGGTAAAGCTTTAAAGTCGCCGGGCTGCACGCCATGCCTGCCTCTCCCTCTGCGTGCGGCCTTCTGCACTGGCCCCTCGCTGGCCCACGAGGCTGAGCCGCCGCCGCCTCTCCCGCAGCCCAGCTTCCCGTAAACCACAGTGACACCTGGCGGCCAGTGTGTCCAGTCACAGCTTTTCTTATAATTGACTTGTTGGCTGCAACGTAAGAACTACGCAGGTTTGGACAGAGAATTTAAGCCAAAGAACGTGCTTGAACGTAATTATAGCTTCAGTCCTGTTTTCTGAGATGTACTCGGCTCTAACTCTCTGCCCCTGGCGGCCGGCAGGATGACGCATCTATTTCCTCATGAAAGCGTTTCTCCTCTGCGGGAAATCTGGGCTTTTTAAAAATCGATTGCCTTGCTCTTAAAGGTTTCTTTGCCACTGTAGGTATGAAGCCTATTGATCTGGTTTCTGATATCCTCGATTTCATTTTTTTTTTCATAAGTAGACAACAAAACACTCCATAGATGACTGTAGATAGCACAATGTAAAGATTTAAAGTAAACCCTAATTCACACTGATGCCCTTGGGACTTCTTGGGAAACCCGAAAACAGGTAACTTCACACGAACACACGTGTGTGCTTGGTCTGTAATCATGTTCTGTCCCTTTAAGACCTCCCAGCGCCCCAGGAGGTGGCACTGACCTCGTGCCCGTCTCAGAGAGGGGAGTCTGAGGCCGCGTGCGAGGGGGTGGGCAGAGGTCCCTCCGGCCTGCGCGGACGGCTGCCTGGGTGTTCAGCAAGCTCGGGCAGATCATTGGAATTGCTTCCGCTCATTTTCCCTCGTTTTGAAGCCAACGACCTCTAGTTACTTTTTGCTTTGAAATGTAGTTTCAGATCTGGAGTAAAATCCCCCCCACCATCATCATCTTTGACCAGGCCCTTTGCGAAAGTTAAACCTGTCCGTGTTTTCCCTCTACAAAAGAACAGGCGTTTCTCAGAAGCAGCAGAGGGGCCGAGCATCTTGTTCTAGCCCCTCGTCTGTTAGGGCAGCGGTCGCCAGCCCGCGGTCCGAAAGCCACAGCGATGGCATAGGGGTCAGTTATTGGGTTTAAATCTGTCTTTGTATGAATGTATTCTCCAAGGTGAGTTTCCGTTTAAATCTATGAATATTTCATTGGGTTCTTGATCTCAAGATGCCCAGCCCCTGCCTCCTGGTCGTGAAAAGCTAGGCTTTCCTCCTGCTGCTGCCCCCCGGCCCCTCCTCACCGCGGGCGGCGGCGCTGTGCGCGGGCAGGGCCTTCCCGGTCGGCGGAGGGGGCGCCGGGCCGGCGTGTGCAGCTCCCGCGTCGCTCCCTGCAGGTCGGGGACCAGATTGTGGAGATCAACGGGGAGCCCACCCAGGGCATCACGCACACGCGTGCCATCGAGCTCATCCAGGCCGGCGGGAACAAGGTCCTCCTGCTCCTGAGGCCGGGCTCGGGCCTGATCCCTGACCACGGTGAGTGGCGCCTGTGGCTGCAGAGCTGGGAGGGTGGGCGGGAGGGTCAGCAGGAGGAACGTGTCCGTGGAGGGGATAGTTCACAGCTAAATCCCAGCAAAGCCAGAATCACCGGCAGCTAGCGACATGGCACGGTTTTCCTTAGTTACAAACAGTATTACCAAACAGGACTGGGCTGGAAGGGAGCACAGGGAAGCTAGCTTCACTGGAAACGTAGAAAGTGCCTCTGCAGAGCGAGGCTGTGGAGGCACCAGGCTTAATGTCAGGAGAGGCGTCCGAAGCCTCTTCAGGGGCACGCATTCTGCAGTGCCAGCCCTCTGGTCCTCGGCCCCGGGCGCTCTGAGATGGCAGCGAGCCCCCGGGGCAGGCACTGGCCTGGAAGCCAGGAGGCGCCCACCTGCAGCCCCTCTCGCCGCCCTCCTCCCTCCGACCGCGTCACCTCCCTCCCGTCTGCCCGCAGCCCTGCGCCGGGGCCGGGCCGACGGCGCGGACCGCGCTGCGTGCACCGTCCCAGGCGCTCTGCTCTCTCTTCCTCCCCAGGTCTGGCTCCCTCCGGTCTGTGCTCCTTCGTGAAGCCTGAGCAGCACTAAGGCTTTCAGGGCTTTTCTTGGTCTTTCCTTAACAGACTTGGTAAATCTGCATGTCTTGTCCATCACTTCCGTCTTTTTTCCCCCTTTTCATTTAAAAACGATGCTGTGAGATACGTCTCATTCTCCTGCTGCGCTCTCCAGGCTCCCTTTGGCGTTAGTCTGGCGGCTTAATGAGAAAGCTGTCCACCGGCGCCCGGGCCGGGTCCTCAGGCCGCGTCCACCAGTCAGAGCGCAGTCAGGCCACGTCACCGGGTCCGAGGGGGGTCCTGATGGTTTAGTTTTCATGGGGCTTTCCCTCATCAGTAGCTGGGACAGTGGCTGCCGCAGTTTGCTGTCTGTGTAGACGCCCCGCCCGGGATGTGCGAACACAGCTGTCCGCTCGCCTGCCTGTGGAGTCACGCAGACTGTGTGTCGGATGCTCGTCTGCGCCAAATGGCTACCAGAGCCCAAGCTCTGCTCCTCGCTCACGAGTCCGACCTTTAACCGTGTCCCCCTCCCCCCCAGGCGACCGGGACGCCGCCCACCCTCCATCTCCCCGCGTCATCTACGACGAGCAGCCGCCGGCGGGCCCGCCCTCACGCTCTGCCTCGGCGGCCGGAGAGCCGGCCACGGCCACGGCCACGGGGGCGTCCTCGGTGAGAGCCCCGCCGCGGGAGACGGCGGGAGAGGCCCCGGACCCGGCGCCTGGAAGGAAGAGCGCGTCCCACCAGTCCCTCCCCCAGAAAGGCGTGAGCAGGAGGGAGCCGCCCGCCGGCCACGGCCACGGCCACGGCCACGGCCACGGGGACAGGAAGCACCTCCTGAAGGTGGACAGCGGCGCCCCCCGCCGGGGCCGCTCCGCCAGCCCCAGGAAGCCCGCCGGCCGCCCCGCGGAGGACCGAGCGGACACGGGCCCCGGGCCTCCCCCAGGCCCAGGCGAGCCGAGGCGGCGGCCCCGGGACCGGTCGGCCAGCCCCCGGGCGGCGGAGAGCCGGGGCGGGCGGGGCCGCTCCTCCAGCCCCCGGAAGCCGCCCCGGACGGAGGGGGCCGCGGCCCGGGACGGCGGCCCGCAGCGGAGCCAGCCCGGGCAGGGGCCGCGCTCCCCGGAGGGCAGGGGCGGGAAGGGACGGCGCGGCCCCGCGGGGGAGGCGGCGGAGAGGGCGCCGAGGCCGGGCGCCGAGGACGCGGGCGGGAAGGAGGCGGACGGCGCCCGGGGCTCCCCCGGCCGGCGGGCGCCCATCACGCCGGGGCCCTGGAAGGTGCCGGGGGCCGGCAGAGCCTCAGCCGAGAGGCGGCTGTGACCTGTGAGCGTCCCCCCCAGGAGTCCTCCTTTCAGACACGCTCGCACCCGCGCACACTGGCTTCTCCAGCCGCCCGGGCGGTGAGGGGCCCCCGGCGGGCTGCCTCGTGGGCGGGCACACACGGCGGGCGTGACCGTTAGTGTGGTCACAGCGCACGGCAGGCCTGTGCCAAGTTCGCCGCCGCCTCCCCCCTCCTCCTCCTCCTTCTCCTCCACTGCCTCCTTCTCCTCCACCACCTCCTCCACCTCTTCCTCCTCCTCCTCCTCCCCCACCTCCTCCTCCTCCAGAGCCTCCTCGCTCAGTATTGTCGCGGCCGTGACCTGGGTCTGGCTGGGAGTCACGTTCTCCATAGCATGTTGCATGTTTACAGAGAACATCCGTGTCCCTGCAGGAGAGGGCACTCTGCTCCTGGCGCAGACGGCGTCCCCGTTCACACACAGCTCACCGTCCTGCTGGGAGAAAGCAGGCAGTCAGGTCCCTCGCCGCACGGATTCCATCTTAATCCCCCCGGGAAGGTGTCACTTCCGACGGCGTGTCCCCGGGGAGGAAGCGCGGAGCCCAGGGGCACCCTCCTCCTGCCTGACGTGCGCGCACACACACACACACACCCGGCCCCCGGGATCCGGGATTCCCTCCTGCGGGAATGCCGTGCTCCCGGTGACCAGGTTTCCGTTTCAGGCTCTTTGGGTGGTACCCGCTGGTCAGTGGTGGTCAGTCCCTGTTTGCGGAGTCTCAGCAGGACTCAGACTGGGTGAGGGACTCGGTCACGCAGGCGGTTTCCCTCGCAGGCGAGGACACCAGGGGACAGGCGGGCCGGCCTCCCGCATCCTCGCTCACTGACTCCGTAAAGGCCAGACAGGCAGGAGCCCAGACCTCCGCTCGGCCTGTGGGACCCTCGGGTCCCGTGAAGGATGGGGGTGGGAGGGGGCGGCAGTGTCTAACCACCAACAGCGCGCTTTCCCGCCCTGAAGCAGCACTCAGTAGCAGCTAGCACTAGAGGAACTCCTCAGCATACAGCCCTGCCGGTGCATCTGGACACCGGCTGTCACTGGGCTCCTCTCCTTGTTGTGAAACGTTGTGTCCGGCCCCTCCCTCTTGGCGTCCGACTGTGAAACTCTCTCCCGGGACGGGTCCCGGCCCGTCCTGTCCCCGCCGGACAGCGCAGAGTTAGCGCCACAGAAACTGTTTTCCCTCCAGCCCACAATTAGTGATAAAAATCCTATTTTTATTGTCAACTGTGACATGACTCGGATGTCACGTGTCGTCAGTCTGATGTGGCTCTTTTCTCCCAAGTAACCTGTCGCTGTATGGATCATTATCCTGACTTAGCAATTGAATGGCCTTGGAATGCTAAGCGAGATACGGATGTACTGGTTGTAAATGTTTATATATTGTACAGTACCTTTATATATACACCAGAGGTTCTGATGAGAGAAAGAGATCTGTAAATCGCTCGTTATTTTTTATATAGATATTAAAAAATCAAAAACTGATGAGTGGTCTGAGTCCTCTGTAATCCCAAGTCATGCATTGTCTTTGAAAGTGAGACCCAGCCAAAGCCGGTTTGGCTCAGTGGATAGAGCGTCGGTCTGCGGACTGAAAGGTCCCAGGTTCGATTCCGGTCAGGGGCATGTACCTTGGTTGTGGGCACATCCCCAGTAGGGGGTGTGCAAGAGGCAGCTGGTCGATGTTTGAGTCTCTCATCGACGTTTCTAGTTCTCTAACTCCCTTCCTCCACTCTGTGAAATATCAATAAAATATATTTAAAAAAAAAAAAAAAAAAGAAAGTGAGACCCATTCGGCCCATTGTGAGTATGTAGATCTAAAAAATGTCAAGGACAGATTTCACTAACTGGAAGGGAGGGTAACTGTACAGTGCTTAAGCCCACTCACCTCTAAATGCAGTGAACCAAGACTGAAAGCAATCCATCCGCTGACGCTGGGTGAGAGAAGCTGATTGAGAACGCTCCTGCGTGTCTCTGAAAGGCAAGAACACCAGACCCGTTAGGCAAGTATCTGGTTAGTCGGCTTTTCAAAGTGATTCGTTTAGATCCGTGGTCAGCAAACCGCGGCTCTCGAGCCACATGCGGCTCTTTGGCCCCTTGAGGGTGGCTCTTCCACAAAATGCCACAGCCTGGGCGAGTCTGTGTTGAAGAAGTGGCGTTAGAAGAAGTTGAAGTTTAAAAAATGTGGCTCTCCAAAGAAATGTCAATTGTGCTGTTGATGTTTTGCTCTGTTGGCTAATGAGTTTGCCGACCGCCGGCTTAGATTTTACATGGGCCATACATCCCTGTTCGGGAAGTCCGAGGCTCCACCCTCGCAGCAATGAGAGGGAATAACGTTTCCCAATAAGACAAATGATAGTGACGGGAACCTCCTGTGGTTACTATCCCAGTTAAAGGTACGATAGCCCATTCTAGTTCTGTCTTTACATTTTGGCTTCATTTCTCCGTGACATAACTGTCAGAGGCGGTGACATCACTCCCTGTGGGGGATCACGGCAAAAGCCCGCGTTCCTCGGAATCGCTGCACATAGTACCCACGGGAGGTTCCTTAACGTTGTCACTTGTGGTGCTGGGCACGTTATTCCCCCTCATTGCTGCGGGGCACAGACACCGGGGCGCGGAGGGTCAGCGCCGCGCGAGGGACCCGCTCCCATCCCAGCAGAGGGAACAGCTGCTTGAAGGCCAGTTCCTCGGGGTCTGGTTTCCACTTATCGAGCACCCAGGATGGGGCGGGTACTCACCGCTCTGTGTTCGAGAAAATAGCGCCTGCCGGCAGGGCTCAGCCCAGCCCAGGGGAAGGCTGGACGGGGAGGCAGAACCTAAACAGGGTCGTCAGCCTGTGAGCAGCAGGAAGTGACCCCTCACTCGCGCCACCAGAGGTGGCCCCGCGAAGGATCCAACAGCCGGGAGGCATCCGGGGGAGGGCCCAGGCCCGTGGTCGGCAAACTCATTAGGCCACAGAGCCACATGTCAACAGGACAACGAGTGAAGTTTCTTTGGAGAGCCACATGTTTTAAACTTCAACTTCTTCTAACGCCACTTCTTCAACACAGACTCGCCCGGGCCGTGGTGTTTTGTGGAAGAGCTACCCTCAAGGGGCCAAAGAGCCGCATGTGGTTCGAGAGCCGCGGTTTGCAGGCCACTGGCCTAGAAAAGCACACTGGAGCAGTCACGGGGAGCGGGGAGGAGTGTGGGGGAGGGGGGGATAGAGAAGGAGACCTGGGAAGGGATCAGGCGTGATAGTGCGTGGCTAGGAGGCCAGGAAGGAGAAAGCTTTAGAGTTCCCGTGTTTTTACGTCCACCCCTGTGGCTGTGGAGAACCGGCTGGGAGGCGAGAACGGAAGGGCCTGGGGGTCGGCAGGGTGGCCCAGGGGGAAGTGGAGGCCTCACCTGCAGCCTGAGTGTAGACCTGACGGGCAAGGCGGTGGGTTAGACGTGGAGCAGGAGGAGGAGGAGGAGAGGAGCCGGGAATAAACCCAGAGCCTTCGGCTTGAACAACTAGGAAAACTTTGTTCCATTTACCGAGGTGAGAAAAACATCCTCCCACCACAGTGCTCATGCCCCGCAGCTAAGGTGAGCGAGGCCCAGAAGGGAGACCCATCACACCAGGGTACACACAACCTTCCTTAGCCCAGCGTGGCCATTCCTCTGTGAACCTCCCAGCACAGACAACGCAGGTAAGGAAATAAAAGGTGTGCCATACCGCCACCCGCTGGACAACAGAGACAGCACACCACCCATCAGCCTGCTGGATTGTATAATATGTTCACAGTGGCACAAGTCTCCATAGCTAAGACTTGGAAATCGCCTACGTGCCCATCAGCAGATGAGTGGATTTAAAAAAACCATGGTACATTTTCACAATGTAATACTATACGGTAATAAAAAGGAAATAGCTTACCATTTGCAACAGCATGGATGGACCTGGAGAGCATTATACTGAGCGGAATAAGCCAGAGAAAGATAAGTATCACATGATCCCACTCAGATATGGAATCTAATGAACCAAATAAACTGATGATCAAAAACAGACCCAGAGCCCTAACTGGTGTGGCTCAGTGGATAGAGCGTCAGCCTGTGGACTGAAGGGTCCTGGGTTTGATTCTGGTCAAGGGCATGTACCTTGGTTGCAGGAACATCCCCAGTAGGAGGTGTGCAGGAGGCAGCTGATGGATGTTTCTCTCTCATCCATGTTTTCTAACTCTATCCCTCTCCCTTCCTCTCTGTAAAAAAATCAATAAAATATATTTTTTTAAAAACAAAAAACAGGTAACTCAATTAAGACTAAGAACCACATGTAAGCGGCCAGAGTTTCCACCCCATGTGCACATGGCCTGTGTGCCCATGGGATACTGCAGAGAATGTAAGTCGTCAAAGGCTCCGTTTGGCTGAGAGCAGACACGCAGGACCCTGAACCAGGGCTGGGTGCTGGGAACTGCACAGCAGACAAACCATTATCACTCCTCCCTTCTCCTGGGGCAGGCTTCGGCTCAGATGCACACAGAAACCACGTGTGCTGGGCGTGCATGAGGACGCACACACATAAGTCTCTCCGTGGCGTGTCACACGCATGGCTCGCTCACCAAGGATGACACCGCTACCGAATTAACCCCAGATTTATAAACGAATTAAAAACGTATCCACAGTTTAGTTTTTTCCTTCAATGACAACAGAAAGAAGCCTAGAAACTGACCTTTTCCAATAAAGTCCTTTTATTTGAGTTCAACCTAAAATAGCTGGATCTCTGCTGGAGAAACGAAGTCTCCGCTTCTGTGCACGTCATAGGAAGTCCTGGGTGTGCACATTTCCAGGAAAGTGTGTTTGCGCCCCATTCTGGGTCCCCAGCAGTTACCCAGAGCCCGTCTCCGGTAAACATGACTGTCCCTGCAGGACACGTGCTGCCTCAGAGAGTCCTGTCCCCGCACAGTCCCCCTCCTACCGTCCGCTGCGGGAGTCCCGCTGGCAAGGCCCCGCTCCTCCAGCCCCCGGAGGCCGGGCCCGGCAGGGTCTCGGGCAGGCGAGCGGGGGCATCGCACGTTCCTCCGGCATCTCCTTCCCGAATGGGGACATGTCGCCAGCACGGGGAGCGAGTCCGGCGCCTGGCCAGCTTAGGATTTGATTTTCCACAGCTGAGGAAGGAAGGTCACCAGTAAGCAGGACAAACAGGTGGGGGTTAGAAGAACACTTACAGACTTAAGAGCTGAGAACCCTTTGACAAGGAGGAAACGGGTGCCAGAACCAGTGTGGCTCAGTGGATAGAGCGTCGGCCTGCGGACTGAAGGGCCCCAGGTTCGATTCCAGTCAAGGGCATGTACCTTGGTTGCGGGCACGTGGGGGTGTGCAGGAGGCAGCTGATGGACATTTCTCTCTCATCCATGTTTCTGTCTATCCCTCTCCTTTCCTCTCTGTAAAAAATAAAATATATATTTTTTTAAAAGAAGAAAACTGGCAGCCACAACCACAGGCCACCACAGGGGGAAAAACAGAAACGTGTCCAGGACGGAGAACGGCACCCGCGGTTCCTGGTTCTGGGTTTCACTCATTCTGACCGTCCAGGGCCCTCGGCCAGAGCAGGCCCTGGCTCAGCCCCGGCTGTGAATCCGACGTGAGATTCCAGCTCGATATTGTGTGCGGTTCCAGAGCACTGGGCTCTGTGCTTTTGTAAAAGGAGGAAACCCACGCTGAGCAGCCTGGGGGCCACCAATCCAAATGTCTGTCTCTTCACTTCAAGAGTAATGTTGCCCCAGCCAGTTTGTTCAATGGTTAGAGCATCGGCACGTGGACCAAAGGGCCATGGCTCAATTCCCCGTTAAGAGCACATACCCGATCCCCGGCCGGGCTCAGGGCACATGTTGTAGGCAACCAATTGATGTGTCTCTCTCACATCCATGTTTCTCTCCACCCTCCCTCCTAAAAACCAATGAAAAAATATCCTCGGGTGAAGATTAAAAAAGAAAAGTTATTTCCATGCCAGACACACACACACACACACACACACACACAGTGAAGAACAGAGATAATTATTACAGTTTTTGAGACAAGGCGGAGGCCACAGACGGCAGTCCTACTCACTCGTATGTTAAATCCCAGGAGGTCGCTTATGACGCCGGAGACCGCGGACAGGATGACGACGCGGGTGATGTTGAAGATTAAGGGGTTCATGGTCAGGCCGTAGAGCCGAAAGGGCGTGTCCAGCTCCTGCGGAAACACAGAAGCAGTGAGCCCGTGGCTTCCCCGTGCCCGGGCCGCCAGCCGGTGTGAGGTCAGGCGGGGCGGCTGCTCAGGCGCCTCCCCTTGGCCTCCGGGAGCTGGAGCAGGAGGTGGGGGGCCAGAGGGGAGGACACAGCTGTCCGGGCTCCCCTCTCCCGGCAGCTAAGCTGTGGGGGTGGAGTCCGGCAGCACGCTCTCGGTTGTTTTTTAAGCGTCATTAAGAGATGTGACGACGTCCATCGTACAAGTCTGATGGGCACGCTTTCCTGCGCAGCCAGTGGCGGGAACTGCCGAGCTGGCGCCAGCCTGGCCTCGGCCGCTCCGGGGTCTCTGGGAAGTAAAGCGAGCCTCGATCTAAATGGCGAGAGAGTGTGGCAGGGCCCTACGTACCTTCAGCAGCTTGGTGGACAGCTTTAACACGTTGTTTACTAGAGTAAGCTGTTCCTTCTTGGTTGGCTTTTTTTCCATCTTAAGATATAAATTAATCTAAGGGAAGGAACAGAGATTGTGGTAAGTGTCGTAGAAAACGATACAAACACTGCATTGCACCTGGCAGATTTTAAGGGTCCTATTTCCAAGTAAAATACGTTTTGAAATCCCAGCAGCTATTTCTACATGTGTCACGGGCCCCGGCCCCCATCCCTCGTCAGACATGTTTGTCAAAGAAAAACTAGTGAAGGAAAAAAGTACTAAAGCAATTTAAATATCAAAACAATGAAAACTTCCACTATTTTTTTCTTTATAGAAAGAATTCTCCGTTATAATCCTATCCTAAGGCAAAAAAATAAATAAAAACAAAGAACTAATGATACCAAGTACTTCCACTTAAAACTTACGGATAAGCATGCGATTATTTTACATGGTGCGTACTGCTCTGTGTTTATAAGAGGCGTTTCTCAATCTCAGTAGCTACTCACATACTAAAGAGCAAGTATTTTCCAAACACTGAATGTATCCCATGGCTGATACAGAAGAAATCCAAGAAGCTTATTAAATACTAGAGCCCAACGCACGAAATTCGTGCACTCGGCCGGGGGGAGAGGGGAGCGGGAGGGTCCCCTCAGCCCGGCCTGCGTCCTCTCGCAGTCCAGGACCCTTCGGAGGGTGTCTGGCTGATGGCTTAGCCTTAGCGCCTTGGTGGAGATGGGACCTCTCCCTGCCACCACCGCTGCACTCACCAGCCGTGAGGCCGGCTCCTGGCTGAGCAGTGCTCCCCCTGTGGGAGCGCACTGACCACCCAGGGGCAGCTCCTGCATTGAGTGTGTCTGCCCCCGGTGGTCAGTGTGCGCCATAACAACCGGTCGTTCCACCATTCGGTCTATCTGCATATTACCCTTTTATTGATATTACAAAGGATGCTTACATGACCAATCCTCCTAAAATCTAATACTTAGTGTAGAATATGAGATTAACAGTATGCTCCAGTCCCACCAGTAAAAAAAAAAAAAAAAAACCTTCACAGTATACAGAGTATTTTCAATCCATTCGGTCTTAATTCTTATAACAATTCCTGGAGCAGGTGGGTAAGATACCGTCCTCACTGTGCAAGGAGACAATCGCACAGTGGCTAGACAGTGACAGACTTTGAATGCCACCCCGGATCTTCTGCTCGAATCTCACTGAGCGTCTCGCACCTGCTCGGTGAGCAGTACTGACACGTTGCTGTACTTCTTGTTGGTCTCGGAGCCCAGCGAGGCCAGGCGCAGCAGGAACAGCAGCAGAGCCGTCTCCCAGATCAGGAACTCCCAGTTGTATGCCTCGCTCAGGAACGTCTTGTGTCCTTGGAGGACCTGCACGAAGGACCAAAAAAATAAATAAAAGTTGTCCATAAAAATAAATAAAAGTTGTCCACTTACTCCTTTACGCCAGCTACTTAAAAATGTGTGCCAGATAGCGCTGTTTTAACACTCGGAGGAGGTTTAACTCCTTAGATACTATCTATGTAACTAGTCAGCATGTTTTTCTCTACGTTTACTAGCCGTTTTCCCTTGCAGGAAAGACACAAGAGTCCGGGAGTAACAAGGGGGAAACACAATGAGTGAAATAAAACCAACACGTCCCCAGCCTCTTGAACCACCAGTGCCCATCGCAGTGATGCGGTAACCCTTTCCCAAAGCCCTGAGTTTGCCTGTGAAGAATACAGAGAACGAAGGCTCCGAGACCAAACGCATTGAAAATCAGAGAGCCACCACACAGAGGCCCTCTCCCCAGAGCCCTCCCCGTCTCTTTCCTTTTCCCCCTCCTCCCCTCCTCTCTCCCTTCCCTTTTTTTCCCTCCCCCCATTCTCTCCTCCCCTCTTCTCTCCCTCCCCCCTCCTCCCTTTCCCCTCTCCCCTCCTCTCTCCCTCCCCCCCTCCATTTCCCCTCTCCCCTCCTCTCTCCCTCCCCCCCTCCTCCCTTTCCCCTCTCCCCTCCTCTCAGCAAATTCCACTGCCCTCTAAGATGCTTGTTGACTCTGCCACCATCATGGTGCAGTAATTTTATCACCACTCAAAAATTATCAACTATTAATAGCTGAAACTGGTTTGGCTCAGCGGTAGAGCGTCGGTCTACGGACTGAAGGGTCCCGGGTTCGATTCCGGTCAGGGGCATGTACCTTGGTTGCGGGCACATCCCCGGTAGGGGGTGTGCAAGAGGCAGCTGGTCGATGTCTCTCTCTCATCGATGTTCCTGGCTCTCTATCTCTCTCCCTTCCTCTCTGTAAAAAAAAATCAATAAAATATATATATTTTTTTTAAATGATCAACTAAACAAAACAAAAAAATTACCAACTAAAATTAGAGTGAACTTGGAGTCTTAAAGGACTTCCAAATTACCCTTACTCTCATGACAAAAGTCAGGAAAATTAGCAAGTATTCATGAGAGCAAAGGAAACTGAGACACGTGAGAAACCTCTACACTCAGGCCCCGGCGGCTGGTCAGAGCACCGTCCGCACACACCGGGGCTGCGGGGCTGATGCCGGGGCGCGAACAAGAGTCAACCAAAGACGACGGAAATGAGAGGGACAACAACCCAGGTTTCTCTCTCTGAAAGTCAGCCGCCTGAAACACGTTAATATATATATTTAAGTAAATGTATGTGTGTGTGTATACATATACACACACACACACACACACACACACTCTCTCACATGCAGGGAAGCGCCACGGAGAGGAAGCTCACCTGGGCACAGCAAATGAAGGCGATGGACAGCGTGAGGAGGAAGACGGAGGACACCACCACGTCCACGGAGCGCTGCGGGCCCCGCCTCTGCGGAGAGAGGGGGCGTTGCGAGCCACCAGCGGCCACAGCGTGACCTTCACTTCGTTCCGGTGCGTCTTGTCTTGTTTCCCTTTCCCGTGGTCTCTCGGCATCAGTGTCAGAATGTGCATCTGTAAGGCGCCCCGACAGGGGGCTGCAGCGCCTTCCGCTGTGACTCAGCCCCGGGGCCGGCTGCTCCTACTCCAGGGCGAGTGACCCCGGACAGCTTTCCCCGGGGGCGGCCCCGGCAGGAAAAGCTGCAGCATCGAATGCACCCTCCGCCCTGGGGGTTCCGCTTTCCTTCCCGCGCTCTCACGGACCTGCACCGGCCTGAGGGGTCCCCTCCACCCCCAACCGGTGAGATCTCCAACCCTCCAACCCTCCACCCTCCACCCTCCAACCCTCCACCCTCCAACCCTCCAACCCTCCACCCTCCAACCCTCCAACCCTCCACCCTCCAACCCTCCACCCTCCAACCCTCCACCCTCCAACCCTCCAACCCTCCAACCCTCCACCCTCCAACCCTCCACCCTCCAACCGGTGAGGTCTCCTGCCCCTCACAGGCCGCCCCGCTGCGGCCCGCGCTGTCCCGGCCTGTCCGCCCACCTGTCCGCCCGCCTGTCCGCCCGCCTGTCCGCCCGCCTGTCCGCCCGCCGTCTGCCCGCCTGTCCGCCCGCCTGTCCGCCCGCCTGTGTGTGTGAGTGTGTGTGTGAGTGTGTGTGTGTGTCCGCGGCCTGTCCGCCCGCCTGTCCGCCCGCCTGTCCGCCCGCCTGTCCCGGCCTGTCCGCCCGCCATCCGCCCGCCTGTCCGCCCGCCTGTCTGCCTGCCGTCTGCCCGCCTGTCCGCCCGCCCGGCCTCCGGCCCGGCCCCGCCGCCCCGGGGCCTGCCTTCAGGAAGGAGCGCAGCGACAGCCAGATCTTGATGTTCTCCACCTTCTTCAGCCGGAAGTGAGGGATCTCGTATTTGCGCGCTTTCCGGGCGGACGTGATGTGGCTGAAGAGCTTGGCGAACAGGAACCTCTGAGGCGCGAGGGCGGGCGGTGAGCGGCCGTCCGCGGCGCCGGGCCTGCGGCGCTGAGGGTAGCGGAGGCCGGGCCGGCGCCGCGGGGGCTCCCCCGGGAGCCACGGCCCCACGCGAGGGCCTGGGGGCCGCGCAGCCGAGTCTGCGCGGGGCGGCCGCTCCCTCTCAGGCCATCCGGCCCCGTGCGCGGCCCGGGCACCGGTGACAGGTGCTCTGCCGGCTCCTGGCAAACCCTTCCGTCCCCCCGGCCCCCCGCCCGGCAGCTCCCTGGCGAAGCCACGAACCACCACACACACAGACACACAGACACACACACAGACACACACACACAGATACACACACAGACACTCACACACACACACAGACACACTCACACACACACTCACACACACTCACACAGTCACACACACACACACACACACACACACACACACTCACACACACACACACAGACACACTCACACACACACACTCACACACACACACAGTCACACACTCACACACTCACACTCACACACACACAGACACACTCACACACAGACACACACACACAGACACACACACGCGGGCTCAGCAGGGTAACAGACGCAGGAACCAGTGGAGCATCACACCCCGACGGGACACTCGGCCCCGGGCCCGGCCCGCTGCGCTGTGGGAGGGGCACGGGGGACGGCCGGCCGGACGGACGGACGGACGGACGGCCGCGGGGGCCGCCACCCACCTGCTTGTAGGTGCGCTCGGCCACGCACATCATGAAGAAGAACATCCAGGTGAGGCACAGCCGCTCCACGAAGCCGATGAGGGCCAGCGCGAGGACGGGGGGCACGGGCGGCGCCCCGCAGAACAGCGCCAGCACCTCCTCGGCCGACACGGCCGCCAGCTGGCCCAGGCTCTTGGCGCGGCCCAGGCGGTGCAGGAAGGGGCAGAGGGCCAGCCCGGCCGTCACCGCGGTGCCCAGCATCTGGTAGGCCAGGCCCTGCGGGTGCGCGTTCACCTGGGGGCAGGCCCGCGTCAGCCCCGCCCGGAGCCGCGGCCGGCCTGGCAGCCCGAGCCCGGCACCTAAGGGGAGTGGGCGGGAGCGCGGCCGGGCCCCTGGCTTTGGATCTGACCGAGAGCCGGCTCCCGGGAGGAGGAGCGGGGGCAGATGTGCCTGAAGGACGGAGCGAGCTCAGCTCAGAGAGACCTTCCCACCCGACCAAACTCTGCCGCCTGGAGGCGGACTCCGGAATTAAAGATGCACGCGTCTCGCCGGAACCGTGTGGCTCAGTGGACAGAGCGCCGGCCTGCGGACTGAGAGGTCCCGGGTTCGATTCCGGTCAGGGGCATGTGCCTTGGTTGCGGGCACATCCCCGTTGGGGGCTGTGCAGGAGGCAGCTGGTCGATGATTCTCTCTCATTGATGTTTCTAACTCTCTATCCTTCTCCCTTTTTCTCTATAAAAAATCAATAAAATATATATATATTTTTTTTAAAAAAAAAGACACACATCTGTCTCAGAAACGGGCCCACCGCGGCCAGCTGTGCGGAACGGCCGCCGGGCACTGGGTGGCCGGCGTGCTCACCCGGCTCATGATGATGCCGCTGATCTCCAGCACCGACATGTCCGCCTTCTTGCACTCGTTCCCCTCCCAGATGATGGCGCTGACGCGGTCCGAGGCCGGGCTGGAGTTCTGGAGCCAGAACAGGTGGTTCTGAGGAGGAAGACAGAGTGAATCGGGGACGACGAGGGCTCCCGCCTCCCGGGCCGGCCGGCCGGTCGGTCGAACGCGCCCTCGGGCGGACGGGGCGGGCGGGGGGGGGGGGGGGGGGGGCACCTGCTGGAACACGTCCTCCCGGGGGCCGCGCCGGGGCCCCGCCTGCGGGCCGGGCGCCGGGCCCTCGCTGTCGCTGGTGGCGGAGGACCGGCACTCGGGGCCGTGCAGCAGGTCGTCCCACAGCATGTCCTCCGTCTCCGAGTCGTGGCGGGTGCTCTCCGAGTCCCTGCGCGACGCGTGGAGGCTGCGGGAGCCGCAGCTCCCGCCCGCCCGGGAGCCCTGGGGGGGGGGGGGGGCAGAGGCGCGTCCTCGCTCGCTCACCTTCAAACTGTCGCGGGGCTGCGGCCACGGGGACCCCCTCCGGCTGCCGCCCTCAGGGGCCTTTCCCAACAGCCGTCCTCGCCGAGTCACACTCCACTTGGCAGGAGCAGGTCAAGCCCCCCTCCCTGAGCCTCACCTGCCCGGCCCCATGGGAGAAACACGCGGGCGAGGCAGCCGCCGCCCGGACCGCTGGGCGGCCGTTACCTGGCTGAAGGCGGCGGACTCGAACTCGGACTCGGCCAGGCTGTCGGAGTCCCGCATGAAGTGGCACCACTTGGCCGTGGTCTTGGTCACCTGCCGGGCCGGGCCGGGCCGGGGAGGCGGGACTGTCAGCCCCGCGCCGTGCCCTGGCCCGGCGCCCGCCCGCCGCCGCCCCGCGGGACGCACCTGCGAGCCCAGGCGCCGCGGCAGCAGCGCCCGCCGGTCCCGCTCGCAGCCGTTGTCGCTGGAGGCGCCCTCCACACTGCGCCGCAGCAGCGTCATCTGCGTCCGCGCCTCCGCGTCCTCCTCGCTGGACGGCTCCTCCGACCGGCGCCCCGCGCTCCCCGCGCGCCGGCCGGCCCCCTGCGGGACAGCGTTCCCAGCTGCGGCACTGCGGGCACCCCTCCGGCCAAGCCGGGGCAGTGCCAGGCGCCGCCGCCACCCACGGCCCCCACGCCGGCCAGCCTCCTGCGGGCACCCCCCGGCCAAGCCGGGGCAGTGCCAGGCGCCGCCGCCACCCACGGCCCCCACGCCGGCCGGCCTCCTGCGGGCACCCCCCGGCCAAGCCGGGGCAGTGCCAGGCGCCGCCGCCACCCACAGCCCCCCCGCCGGCCAGCCTCCTGCGGGCACCCGCCCGGCCAAGCCGGGGCAGTGCCAGGCGCCGCCGCCACCCACAGCCCCCACGCCGGCCAGCCTCCTGCGGGCACCCCCCGGCCAAGCCGGGGCAGTGCCAGGCGCCGCCGCCACCCACAGCCCAGCAGCTCTGGGCCACCACACATAACAGCACTGAACTTGACACTGAACTTGACACTGGCCGGCCCAAGTCAGGAGGCTCGGGCGGGAGCAGCCTGCCCTCGGCCCGGCCCTCTCGGGCTCATGCTTCCGGGGCTCGGTTCCTCCTCCGAGAAGCGGCGGCAGGCAGACCTGCCGGGAAATGGCGCGCAGGGGCCTGGACCGGTGCCGGCTGCGGGGACCACTCAGACGCCACAGCCTCACGAGGGAGGACACGTCTTCCAGAGAGAGCACAGCCCGTCTTAGACACGGAGCGGACGCCTGGCCCTGAGCCTAGGACACGGGTTCCCACCCCAGAGGCCCTGCGCCTCTGGACGCGGCCGCCCCTGCACCCGCAGCCGCGATGGCACCGGCCGCCCCGCCTGCGGAAAGAAGGCCCCGTGGGGCTCACGCCCGGCCTTACCCTGCAGCCCTTCTCGCCCTCCGAGAGCCCGGCGCTCTCCGCCGCTGCCCACGTCCTGGCCTCCCTCCGCACCGGCCGCTTCTTGATGATGGGGTGCAGGTAGCCGGGGTCCCTGCTGGTCTCCGTCTCCTTGTTACATATCAGTTTCACCGTCTTCGTCCTGTTTTTTTTTAAAAGAGAAAAAAGATAACTGACGAGCACCCTGGAATGAGCATCTTCCACGCAACCCGGTGAATTCGGGACTTGACTCTGAAAAGCTAGAACATTCCGACGTCCTCATGCTTGGACTTCTGGCTTGGTGACGACGGGGAGAAAGACAATAATTACACCCCCCTCCCAGCTATGCAGCCGGCCAGCCCTGCTCTGAGCCCTACGCATGTGGTCCCAGCCGCCGGCTCCGGAGGGAGGATGCTGGACCACTCCCCTCCGTCCGCAGCCCCTCCTCCCCCTGGCGGCAGCAGCACAGACACGGAAGCCACCTCCTCTTTTCCAGATCCTTCTCTCTTGCCCGATGCTGCGCTTGGCTTAAGACAGGTGCCCGTTGGGCGTGGTTGTGTGTCCGTGACCGTGTGGAGTGGCCGTCACTAGAGGCCCAGCAGGAGGGAACATGTATGGTGGGTCACCGGGCTTGCAGGTAAGCGGAGAGACGGTGAGGTCATGCCAGAGCCTCGGAAACCACACGGACGGTCACGTGCCCACACGGGGCACTCCAGAGCCCGCGCGGAGTCCACGCCACGCAGACACGGACGTGGAGCCGGCGTCACGTGGGCGTTCCAACGTGAGAGAGTCTCACCTGCTGCCGAAGAGAGTCCCCCAAAAGCCGCCGGCGGGGGGTCCGGGCTCCACAGTCTCGACCCCTCTGGCTTTGTCAGAGGAGGTATTTCCATTTTCTCGGCTCCCTTCACCATTCACAGTTTTTCGTAATTTTCTATAAAAAAAAAAACACACACACACACACACACACAAATATTCCAACACTTCAGATTAGTCAAGACCTTCTCTGTTTCTGCCCGGAATAGCCCCTCCAGAAAAATGATGCTAACGGCTGCCCCCTGAAATGAAGGAAAACGGATTTCTATAACGAGGATCAGTTAGCAGCAATGTTTCGGCCGTCAGGGCAAAGAGAGGCTCTAAACAAAGGCCTGTGCTACCATCCTGCCCAATCGTTAGAGAAGCAGAACTGCTATTCAAGAACACTGCAGGAGCCGGACCGGTGGGGCTCAGGGGATGGAGCATCGGCCCTCGGACTGAAGGGTCCCGGGTTCGATTCCGTCAAGGGCATGTGCCTTGGTTGCAGGCACATCCCCAGTGGGGGGTGCACAGGAGGCAGCTGATGGATGTTTCCCTCTCATCGATGTTTCTAGCTCTCTGTCCCTCTCCCTTCCTCTCTGTAGAAAACCAATAAAATATATTTAAAAAAAGCAGAACACTGCAGGAGAACAGTTCTCCCCTGTGGGACACAGTCCTCCCAGGCACCCCTAGAAGGCACGATGCCTGTGGACTCGGATGCTGGAAACCGGCCCATGTGGCACGTTTGGCCCGGAGAGCCCAGAATAACACACTGGTCACCTAGCACTGCTCTCCACGGAGTTAGAGGACGCGTCCTATAGATACCCCGAGACACAACACAGCGCCCGCTCCCCTCAGCAACCGACCTGAATTCTCAAGGAATCTTCTTTTGGGGGGAAAGGGGGAATACTTCAAAAATACTACTCAAAAAAAGAAGAAGAAAATAGTACTAAAAAATAATAAATATGTTGAAATTCATTACACCAAGTGGAAATAATCTTATTTGGTACCTGCTTAGGGGAACAAAAACCTACAGGCACTCCGAGGAAAATAACAGCGCATATGCCTCAGAGACCTTTACCAGTCTCAGAGCCCGCACAGAGCACTCAGCCTGCAATCACGACATGAAGTCAGCGTGGAGAAAAGTCCAAGCAATCTTCATCAGAGGTTTGGAGCGCTTAGAAATCCATTCTTATTATGCGTATTGAGACAATAAGACAAGGTGAAATATGTTTGGTAGCAGTAACCCAATTGCATTAAGTTCCTCGTTCATAGTGAATTTCCACCGAATTTTGGTTAAGACTGAATCCTGCAGAAGAATGCCTTTTCAAAATCATTATCTGATATATTTTAATACGGGATAACATAGAAATGGTATAGGAATCTACTTCCTTTTAAGCAGCTGTGTACTGGATGACAAAGTCCTGCCTGCGATTAAAAACTCATGACAAGTCTGCGTAAGCTACAGGGGGAAAGGCGAAAAGCAGAGCATTCTTTTCCTTTTCAGCCAAAAAATAATATGCAAAGGGGGAAGAAGTTTTATTGCTTTGATCCAAGGTTTTCCGGTACCCACGGTGCCTCTCCCAGGACACAGCCGAGCGTAGTGCCGGCGCCGCTCACCTGCGCCTCCGGCTCCCGTCGCTCCCCGCCGGCCGCGCCATCCGCGTGGACACGATCTGGCAGTGCACGGTGCCCAGGAGCAGCATAAGGCACAGCGGCCCGAGGACCTCGCTCACGTTCACAATGGGCATCATCACATACAGCGCAAGTGCGAGCACTGCGGAGAGGTTTCACACGGACGCGTCAGGGCTCGCAAAACACAGACAACAGTTCCACTTCGCGTCTGCCTTCAGCAGAGGGACCGGAAGATACACCTGTGAGGCCACCGGCGCACCCACTGTGGTTAGAGCAACGGGACCTGAGAACACCGAGGGGTGGGAAGGGCATCCGGGGACCCAGCGGTCAGCGCCGGGCAGAGGAGAGGCGGAGAGGCCTGGCTGTGAGGCGGGTGCGGAGAGAGGAGGGTTAGGCTATAGTGTCGGCTCCGTCTGAGCAAATAATTATTTTTTAATATATATATATATATATATATATATATATATATATATATATTTTTTTTTTTTTTTTTTTTTTTTTACAGAGAGGAAGGGAGAGGGATAGAGAGCTAGAAGCATCGATGAGAGAGAAACATCGATCAGCTGCCTCCTGCACACCCCCTGCCGGGGATGTGCCCGCAACCAAGGTACATGCCCTTGACCGGAATCGAACCCGGGACCTTTCAGTCCGCAGACCGACGCTCTATCCACTGAGCCACACTGGTCTCGGCTGAGCAAATAATTTTAAGATGCACCCGGACGCAGTATGTCCCTGGGTCCCTGCATTTCTTTCCACTTCCAGCCACCAGGTGCCAGGGTGAGTGTGAGCGGGGCGAGGCCTGTGCCATCTGACGGCGAAAGCAGCGGGAGGAAGGGCCCGGCTTAGCCAGCCCCCCCCGGTCACCTTGCATGAGATAGAGCAGCAGCAGCCACAGGAAGATCTTCGCGGACGTCACCTGGATCCACCAGCTGCTGAACAGCGGGAAGAACACCACGCGCACCAGCCCCCTGCGCGTCAGGGACGTCCACGGGATCTCTGGCTTGGCTTTGGCAAACGTTGAGCCTTTAAATGGAAATAAAACAAGACGTCAGACGTCTGCATACACTGCGCAGGGATGCCCGCTTGTAACGCTCTGTTATGAACAGGTGAGAGCAAAAACGGGCACCTAAGAAAATCAGCACGTAGCCTGGCAAAAAGAATCGTCTGACGTAATAACTCACGCCTCAGATATAATAACCTCCTGCCTCAGTCATGAGGACACAAGCTCAAAATGAGTCAGCCTCACCTGAATGCTATACAGGCTGCATATCTGTCTTATCAGTTCACCTCTCCCTCTTGACTCGTGTGGAAAACCGTGTAATTTGTGTGGCCACACAGAACTTAAAGTGGGGGCAAACGCTAATGCCCGAATGGTGAGGTAAGATTACTTTGGGAAATTCAAGTACATTATCACGTAGAGACGATAGCTAAAAGTAACCTTTAGCACCGTATCTACACTAATAAAAGAGAAAGATGCAAACTGACCGCACCTGCGCGACACCCACCAGCCAATCAGGAGTGAGTATGCAAATTAACCCAAAGATGTCGGATTGATTGGCATACACAGGCGCCAAGTGGCCGGGGACAGGGCGGGAGGCCTGCGTCGTCACCATGGCGATGACACAGACGTAACACGCTGCCCCAGCTGCTCAGGGCCTCTGGGCATCATGGGAAGGCAGAATGTGGCTCTGGGCCAGAGCGAAGGCAGAAAGGCGGCCGCAGTCAGGAGTGATGGCGGTGCCGGCAGCCAGGGGAAGGCCCATTCTTGCACGAATCTTCGTGCATCGGGCTCTAGTGAGATAATAATACACTTGAGAAACCAGCCCAATTCAGAACTCACCTCTGATTAAGTCCACGTCAATCAGGTCTGCCTTTATGTGACCCATCTTTTTTGGTTTGTTTTTGAAGCCCTAGGACGGAACAGAAGCAGGAGTAAAGAAAAGAAGCCCTTTTAAATGCAAAAGGTAAATGTGTGTTCCTTTCCTCTGGATCCGACTCCCTCTCACTGGAGATGCTTAGTCCTCAGGCTCCTTAAAGGGAATGGTCCTTTCTGGCCTTTCCACCTCTGTCATACAATGAACATTAGCATTAACCAGCGATAACTACCAAACTATGGAACGCTCCCTTAGCAACAGAAACACATTCATTCATTCATTCAATCAACAAATATCCAAGCCCACAACCCCAGCATGTGCCCTTGACCAGAATCAAACCCAGGACCTTTCAGTCCACAGGCAGATGCTCTATCCATTGAGCCAAACCAGCTAGAGCTAGCCTTTCATTTATAAGTTAATACCCCCAACACAACGGCAACATTTGACCCACGTAGTTCCTACTTTTAAGCAGAGGGACAAAAGCATAGGGGGAGGGGGGAGTGACTGCCCTAATGGACTCTTTAACGGGGAATAAAAGCTCAGTAAACCCTGCCACACATCTCGACCTCTCAGTGTCTGAACTTCCCATCGCTTTGCCATTAAAGAATCAAACTGCTTGAGAGCAGCACAGAGAGGAAGTCACTGCGGACGGAGGGCACCCGATGAACAGGAGCCGTGACCCGGCAGGCCAGACTCCAGAGCACGTTCTAACTCGGGTTTAAAAGTCCGAGGAGGGGCCGAAACCGGGTTGGCTCAGTGGATAGAGCGTCGGTCTGCGGACTGAAGGGTCCCAGGTTCGATTCCGGTCAAGGGCATGTACCTTGGTTGCAGGCACATCCCCAGTAAGAGGAGTGCAGGAGGCGGCTGATGGATGTCTCTCTCTCATTGGTGTTTCTAGCTCTCTATCTCTCTACCTTCTTCTCTGTAAAAAAAAAAAATCAATAAAATATATTTTAAAAAAAAAAACAGTGAACATAAGATTGACAACAATTAAAAAAAAAAAAAAGTCCGAGGAGGGTCTGCAAAGGGAACGATCAGCCTGAGACCCGGAGGACGGACAGGAATTCGCCAGGATGGATGCGGGCGTGTGCGGCCAACGGGGGAATCAGGAGGAGCCTAAGGAAGAAGACGGAGCGTGACACAAGCGAAAGGAATGTCAAGAAGGGAAGATTGCCATCAGGCTGAGAATGGGAGTCTATGGAAGGGACACTGGGAAGGCAGAGAACAGTTTTAAAAACGGGAAAACAGTCAGCTGTGTGTGGAAGCATTAACAGGACCACACAAGCCGCTTCGGTGAGGACAGGGCGAGGGGAAGCGGAGGCGGAGGCAACTGAGGCTGGAAAAGCCACTCCGGGCACCAGAGCAGAGTTTTACCTGGACAGGCCGGCGCGGGGCCAGGCCGTGACTCCGGGCCCCGGGCGGCCGCCCGCCCCGCGGCTGCTGGACCCGCTGCTCAGACGGCCGCGCCCGGGGAGCGCCCCGAGGCCGCGGGGCCGGGCGGAGGCGGCCGGACCAGGCCATCAGAGGCATGGCTGGGTGAAGTCTGTCTCAAAAGCGATCAGAGGTAGAATCCAGAAGTTCTGGTCGCAGGAAATGTGGATCGGTGTGAGGACGGAGCCACAGGCCCAGCCCTCTGGCTCCTCGGTGGCCAGGAGAGACCAGAGAAGGGCCGGGCTCCCATCTCTCACTGGCCTCACCTCTGCGGGAGTCTCCTCCCACAGGAAGGGCTGCGAGTCACATGACCACATGCCATCTTCTTGAGGGACATTGGGGGCCCACCTATCAACACGTCCATCTACTTTAAGGTGGCCAGACGGCCCGCTTTTTAACAATTTGTCCCGGGTCCCGCGGCGTTTTTAAAAAAGTCTCAGGTGAGCAGAGGGGCATTTTTTTAGGGCCGAGCTGGCGGGTAGGCTTTCCCACCTCACAAGGCCGTCCGGGTCCAGCGGGCACCACGCCAGCTCGCCACGCCGGATCTGTACCCTCCCCCCAGCCCCAGCCCCGCGGCCCCCACAGCCTGCCTTTGGCACGGTAGCGTACGCCATGCCCCCGCCCTGTTATGAATTAATAAGCTGCCACTCTGAACCCCACGGCAGTCCTGGTGGCTTAGGTAGCATGAAACAACCCCGAGAATCTGCTCAGTGCTAACAGCGCTGGAGAAAATCTCAAAGCCAGTGATCGGTCGGAAAGGCGATTCTGGCCACAGGGGGATCTTGTTTGGCTTGAAGGGGACGAGAAAGAGGAAGAGGAGGGGGAGGAAAGGGGGGGAGGGGAGGGGAGACGAGGGAGGGGGCATGGTTCTAGGACAGCGGTCGGCAAACTCATCCGTCCACAGAGCCAAATACCAACAGTTTCACAAGGATGGACATGTCTCTGGAGAGCCACAGTTTTTAAACTTAAACGTCTTCTCACGCCACTTCTTCCAAACAGACTCGCCCGGGCCGTGGTGCTTGGTGGAAGAGCCACACTCAAGGGGCCAGAGAGCCCCACGTGGCTCGTGAGCCGCAGTTTGCCGACCACGGTTCTAGAAAGTCCAGATATTTCATATAGAAAACACACATTCTCAGCTTCTCTGGAAAACGCTGAAGATCGGTCCATAGCGGGCCGATTCCGGCACAAAGCACAGCGGGCGGAGTGAGAGCCATCACCCCATTTCATACGGGCATTTGTTTTCTAACTCATCACAGACCAACCACTTCCTTCCCTGCCCTCCTCTTCGCCCCCAGACTGAGGCCAAAACCAACTGTCCTTCCCATCCCGCCTGCCGAACAGACTTCAGAGGAGAGAGAGTGCCACGCCGATGGCCAGTGCAGACTGTTAAAGGAAGCTCAATCCACTCTTCACCCTCACAGGAAAGCAAAGCCAGGGCCCCAGAGATCGCCGTACCTTAATCTGAGTCTGCTTGATGGACTTTTCCCATATCTGCTGGTCGTACGCTCCAATCTGAAACAGGAGAGCGGGCTCGTTAAACAACGCACACCTCACAGTCTTACACGATTAAGTGCCCACATGATAGGCAGGAAACGCCGGTGCTGCTCCGGCTTTTAATAAGTTAAGTGTGTGTGGCACCTGGAGAATGGTGCCGTGTCTTCAGGAAAACTAGAGCGGAATGAAAGGGACAGACAGCTCAAGAAGACAGCTGGCAGTGCACCAGGGGGTGAGGGTATGACGAGGGGGGCACATACGGAATACCTTAATCAGAAAGAAGAAAGAAAGGAAGGAGGGAAGGAAGGAAGGAAGGAAGGAAGGAAGGAAGGAAGGAAGGAAGGAAGGAAGGAAGGAAGGAAGGAAGGAAGGAAGGAAGGAAGAGAAAGAAAGAAAGAAAGAAAGAAAGAAAGAAAGAAAGAAAGAAAGAAAGAAAGAAAGAAAGAAAGAAAGAAAGAAAGGAAGGAAGGAAGGAAGGAAGGAAGGAAGGAAGGAAGGAAGGAAGGAAGGAAGGAAGGAAGGAAGGAAGAAAGAAAGGAAGAAAGAAAGGAAAAAAGATAGTTGGCCACGCTTGCCGGTTTGGGCCAGTGATTAGAGCGTGGGCTGAAGGGTCTCCGGTTCATTTCCGATCAGGGGCACCTGCCTCAGTTCAGAGGCACATGTGGAGGCAACCAGTTCATCTCTGGATCTCACTCTCTCTTTTTCTTTTTTTTTTTTTTTATATACTTTATTGATTGTTTACAGAGAGGAAAGGAGAAACATCGATGAGAAAGAAACATCAACCAGCTGCCTCCTGCACACACCCCACTGGGGATGTGCCCGAACCAAGGTCCATGCCCTTGACCGGAATCGAACCCGGGACCTTTCAGTCCGCAGGCCGACGCTCTATCCACTGAGCCACACCGGTTTTGGCATCCCCTCTTTGTTCATGGGTGTTTCTTTCTCTCTGTCTCCCACTCCCATTCTCCCAGTCTCTCTCTCACAAAAAAAAAAAAAAAAAAAATCAATGGCGCCTGGCCGGTGTGGTTCAGTGGTTGAGAGTCCACCCTGAACCAGGAGGTCCCAGTTGGACGGCGGGCTGGGCACTTGCCCGGGTTGCCCAGTAGAGGACATGCAGGAGGCAGCGGTCAGTGATTCTCTATCACTGATGCTTCAATCTCTCCCTCTCTCCTATCCTCTCCTTGAAATCAATAGACACGTGCTTCTTACACATTGGGGGGGATATCCTCAGGCGAGGATTAATGTTTTAAAAACAGTGCTGACGGCGTGCGCCTTTGATCAAAGTGTGTCTGGGGGTGATGGATGAGCCCGAGCGGGTGACTGGGAACCGGAGGGGATGCGGGGAGGACGGGGCGGATGCGGGGAGGACGGGGAGGGGATGCGGGGAGGACGAGGCTGATGAGGGGAGGACAGGGCGGATGCGGGGCGGATGCGGGGAGGACGGAGCGGATGTGGGGAGGACGGGGCGGATGCGGGGAGGACGGGACGGGGATGCGGGGCGGACGGGGCTGATGAGGGGAGGACGGGGCGGATGCGGGGCGGATGCGGGGAGGACGGGGAGGGGATGCGGGGAGGACGGCGGAGGGGATGCGGGGAGGACGGCGGAGGGGATGCGGGGCGGATGCGGGGAGGACCGGACGGGGATGCGGGCGGATGCGGGGAGGACGGAGCGGATGCGGGGAGGACGGGGCGGATGCGGGGAGGACGGGGAGGGGATGCGGGCGGATGCGGGGAGGACGGGGCGGATGCGGGGAGGACGGGGCGGATGCGGGGAGGACGGGGAGGGGATGCGGGAAGGACGGCGGAGGGGATGCGGGGAGGACGGGGCTGATGAGGGGAGGACGGGGCGGATGCGGGGCGGATGCGGGGAGGACGGGGCGGATGCGGAGAGGACGGGGAGGGGATGCGGGGCGGATGCGGGGCGGACGGGGCGGATGCGGGGAGGACGGGGAGGGGATGCGGGGAGGACGGCGGAGGGGATGCGGGGCGGAAGCGGGGCGGACGGGGCGGATGCGGGGCGGATGCGGGAGCACGGCGGGCTGGGCGGGGAGACACGGCCGCACCTTCCTCTGGTACCAGGAGATGGCGTCCCGCTCGCTGGAGGCCATCAGCTCCGCCGGGACGGGCGGCCCTGAAGGAGGAAGCGGTGAGGCGGGGGGGGCGCGGGGCCCCGTCCGTCCCGTCCCGGGCGGGGCTCAGGGCCCGGCTCCGCCCCCGGCTGCCGGCGGGAAACGTTTAAACAAACCGCAGCCCCCGGTGTCCCCTCCCCGGTGCCCGGTGCCCCCTCCCCGGTGCCCGGTGCCCCCCCGGTGCCCGGTGCCCCCCGGTGCCCCTCACCGGTGCCCGGTGCCCCCCCTGGTGCCCGGTGCCCCTCCCCGGTGCCCGGTGCCCCCTCCCCGGTGCCCGGTGCCCCTCCCCGGTGCCCGGTGCCCCCCCCGGTGTCCCCTCCCCGGTGCCCGGTGCCCCTCCCCGGTGCCCGGTGCCCCCTCCCCGGTGCCCGGTGCCCCTCCCCGGTGCCCGGTGCCCCTCCCCGGTGCCCGGTGCCCCCTCCCCGGTGCCCGGTGCCCCTCCCCGGTGCCCGGTGCCCCCCCCGGTGCCCGGTGCCCCCTCCCCGGTGCCCGGTGCCCCTCCCCGGTGCCCGGTGCCCCTCTCCGGTGCCCCTCCCCGGTGCCCGGTGCCCCCTCCCCGGTGCCCCTCACCGGTGCCCGCAGGAGCCGGGCGGCGGGACCGTCCTCAGAGGCCGCGGCCGGGCCGGGCGGCGGGGGGCGCGGCGGGCCCCGCGGGCCGCATCTTCCCCCGGAGGCGGCGACGCCGGGCCGTTACCATGGAGACGGGGGGCCGCTTCCGCCCGCGCCGGGAGCACCGCCTGCGGCTCCGGGAGCACCGCCTGCGGCTCCGCCCCGCGTCCTCCCGCCGGAGGGTCCGGCGCGGCCTGAGCCCGGAGGGAGGAGCGGGCCGGGCCGGCGCGGCGGTGACTCAGCGGCGGGCGGGCGGCGGCTTCCGCTTTCCGGGTCCGAGCGGAGGAGGCCCCGCCCCGGCCCGGGCTCCGGGGCCGCTGCCGGGTCCGGGGCCGCCGTCCGGGGCGGGGCGGGTTGGGGTCGCCCTCGGGGGTGGGATGCAGCCGCTGCCCGCACGGCGCCCCCTGCTGGATCGGCGCCGGAGCCCGGGTGCGGGGTGCGGGGTGCGGGCCCGGGAGGGTGCGGGGAGGCTGGGGTGCGGGCGGGAGGGGGCGCCGAAGGGCAGTGGCGGCGGGCCGGCTGCCCCCGGAGAGGAAGGTGCGTTGGGGTTTGAGCCGCTTCCCGCCCCGCGGGGCTGAGTCCGCGGAGGGCGCCCGGCTGCCGCGGGGCGCGGGGCGCGGGCGCGGGTCCGGGGCGCGGGCGCGGGGCGCGGGGCGCCAGCTCAGCAGCGGCCGCGGAGCCGCGGGGAGCCGGGTCCTGCTCTCGGGCGTCTCCGCAGCCGTCGGGGCCCTGAGGCGGCCGGACGCCGCGGGCGGGCTGCTAGGCCCGGGGCGCCGGGCGGCGGTGAGCGGGGACGTGGGCCGGCTTCCCAGGCTTTTCGGGCCGCGCGTGGGCAGTGGGCTCCTTTCCGCCTTTGCTTCTCCACAGCTTTTCCCTTCTGGGCTGGAGTAAACATTACACTCTGCTGGGTTCCAAAGACATGGCCAGCTTAGGAAAGAAACTGGATAAATGACAGACGGAGAAGTGTGTGTGTGTGTGTGAGTGTGTGTGTGTGTGTGTGTGTGTGTGTGTGTGTGTGTACATATTGAAGACATGAATGACGCTAGCAGCGAACATTCCTGCTTGGCTGCTTAGACTGGAGAAAGGCTTGGGGGGTCTGCGAAGAGCCGCACCAGGCAGGTCCCGTGTGGGAGGAGCCTGGCAGGTGGGCCAGTCGGGAGGGTCAGGAGGTAGATCATCCTTCCTAAGGATCTGCTTCCTGAGGCCGACACTGAACCAGCCTGGCTGAGCCGGGAGCTGCCTTCTGAGCTGCTCCAACGAGTCCTCCACCGTGTGTCACCCAGCGAGCCTGCTTCTACCTGTGTGACGGGACTGAGGATCAGAGTGAGATACCCTCATACCGTCTGGCCCACCAGTTACTCAGAACCATCAGTTCCTTTTCTCTTCCTTTCCTGAGCAGAGCCAAAGGCTGTCCGTGCTGAGGATGGGTCCCTCGACTAAAAAGGTCACACAAATAAAAACAGGTGAGGGAAAACCCAGTGTTGTCACTTAATACATCAATGACACCTGAAAACTGTATAAACCACTTAATTAACCCTGCATGCATGCACTTTCAAGAATAATGACATCAGCAGAATAAAGACTTAAGACTGTCCTCATGAGTAGAGATAAACTAGTTTAAGCAGCAGGAGACATAACTGCCTCAATGTCAAGCATAGTTTTTCTTAAGATACAAAACTAGTATCTCAGTATGGATGGGATTTTCCCCAGATACCTGTGACCTTTTCTAAATTATTAGGAAGGAATAGAGGACATGGATGAAGGGGATTAGAGACTTTAAAAACAGGTTCCAGGTAGAATTCACACATGCTATTCATTTCAAAATGAAACACCAGTAAAGGACAAATCAGACTTTGTTTATTAAAAAAATACTTTACAGGGGGGAAAAAACAACAAAAACCTCTATGCATTCCATTGTCCTATTTTACAAAGAAATAGCTTAACAAGTTAATACACTGAGACAGCTACAAAAAAGCACTGTGCTAAAAGATTATTCACACAAATTCCGATTTAAGACTATTCATTAAAAACCGTTTTAAAACACTTGTTAATGTCAATAAACAAACTAAGGCCACACAACGCAAATAGTCCGCCAGGCAAATTATACATTTCATCTATATGCAAAGACCTTAGATAAATTAAAGCCACAGGAAAAGGAAAAAAAAAAAAAAGTCTTAGCTGCCAATCAAAATGGAGTTTAGTCACAAAAAAACACCATTACATGAAAATTTACAACATAGTGATAGAAGTAGTACATAAGTATTTCTTTAGCGAGAATTGAAAAGTGCTATATTAAGAGACAGTGGTCTCAGTTACATGCACAAGTGGATCCTAAAAAATGTCTGAAGAGAATGGAAGGCCATAATATTTACGGACAGATACTTGCTTTTAAAGCAACGAGCTTTAGCACGGGGATGGGTTCCTCATGTGCTAAAGCAGAATCCCTCTGGTACACTTTCCTCTACTCCCTGCATGACCACTAAATGCAGCTACAGCCTGTCACTTTAAATAAAACTTAGCAGAAGTACTAGTGGAAGGTTCTTTTTAAAAAACAAAACAAAAAAAAAAACCTGTAGCAATGACAAAACAGATTAGAAAGACACAAAGTCAATTATCCTGAAGGCATAAACACCAATTTTTAATGGCAAATACAGATGAAAATATATTATGGGCTAATATTAATGATCAAGAATATATTCACTAAGGGTTTTCTTGAATTTTGGAGTCTTGTTCCTAAATTAGCTTTCATTCTAGACAATATGTATAGAGGGGAAGGCAGTAAGCACGTGTGAACTTTATGCCTCTTACAGACATCTTTTCCTAACATTTAAAGAATCGCATTACGTAAGCTCTTTTTTCCTACTGTAAGAGCTTGTAATATTAATCATCTGATATTCCAACCGTCTCTAAGGGGAAAGGGCACCTCTCAAAAGTCTTTAAAAATAACGAATACCAATGAAACAAACCGTTAAGTGCTGAATAAGCAAATTAATAAACGCACAAGCAAGCCTAGGAACTCCTTCTTAGATAAAATGTTGAAGGGGGAAACTCATGTAGGTTTTTAGTATTATTGCTTTATGACTTTGGAATACTTCTTTGAATCCTAATCCTACTCCTACCATATGTTGGTGTAATTACAGAATGACTTCTGGGGCAAGGGGAAGACTGTTATCCTTATTCATGAATACCATACGATCGTTCTAGTGCGACGTTAGCAATACTCACACACTGGGTCCTTCCCATGAGCACATTTAAAAACACGTGCTCCACAACAGCGGTCACCAAGCAGTGGTCTGCGGGCCACTGGTGGTCTGTGAGGTCCGAAAGGCTGGCGGCCACTGGTCCACAAAATACTAAAACGTAGAGCCACATTCTGCAAGTAATCTCAAAGCATTGGCACAACGGATAAGATACCAAAAAGGAAGATCAGCTTAAATTTCAGTTACAACGTCACTGCCATCAATACTTTACAAATCAGAAGACGCCAGTTTGCTCCATGCCTCACTCCACCAAACCAAATAATTTAATGATTTAGAAAAGTTGCAATCATTGGTATCACTAAAGTAGTATACAGCTTTGAAAGCAGTAAGAAACTCAAAACTTGGGCTTTTATATTGCTCAGTCTTTAAAGCATGCTATTAAAATCTAATACTCACTCACATAGGACATTCAGTTTCCAGATACATCACTAGCTAAATGTTTCTCTCTCCATCCTATTGCAATTCTAACATACAATGAGTTTATTAGTACATGATTTTAAACATTTGTATACTCTTTTCATGTGTTTATATTGGAGGCGAGGGTAGAATGTGTTAAAGGAAAGTGGGGATTTGCTTTTGATTGGAGGTCTTTGCAGATCCGCTGGTTCCTGAGTGATTAAACACAGTGCTGGCTGTCAGGAGACAGACTCCTTGTTTATTAGCAATGACCAGCTTAGATGACAGGTGGCATCTGCTGGATGGCAAGTGGGAGATGGGGAAGTCAGATCTTGGAAGACAAGGAAGGAAAATAAAAAGTTTCTGCTTTAGCAACCTTGTTCTTCATGATTATTTTAAAAAACCGACGTTGCCTGAGAAGAATTTTATTTTGCACAGCCTCGTAAAGCTCTAGGAAATTCTTCTGGACAGAAAAACAAAAGCAAGAAAGAACCCAAACCCACATACTTTGTGATTAACCCCACCCCCGAGTAACAAAAAAACACCCTTGAAGGCAGGTCCCTTAAAAACTAGTCTTGATAAACTAGAATTTATACCCAAGATTTAAAAACACCCCTGCAATAATCACATTACTTTTCATACCATCCTAATTACCTTATTTACAGAGATAACGAAAACCAACATCACTTCCAATTCATAAATGGTTTACATTGAAATGTTTCTCTATTTGTCTTTATCTTTTTTAACAGAGAATACATACATATACATATATATAAGGAATAATACAGATTCTAACTAATCACTGCAGTATTTGCTGATGGTTACTTTTCTATCGGTTTACACAGTGACCTCTATACTTTGCTAATATGCATTTAACTACACAACAATATTGCACAAAGTAATATTTATATAAGATTTAACCTATTTCAGAATATTTTAGAGAAAATTCATATTTGATATTTCAAAAGATGCAGCTATGTTTTCGTGGTGACAGACACAATAAAGCAGCATCTTTTTTGCCTATGTTAATGTAAATATTCCAAATCTCACCCTTCAGGAAAAAAAATCTCCAAATTGCACTATAACCAGGTAGATATAAGAATCTGGCCTTAGGTGTGGGGAGTACTCTTCCTTTAATAAACAGAAGGCCTATAGCATTATTAATTACGAGAAAGTAAAATGTGCATCACATTAACATTCTAAAATAACAGAAAGACTACACCAGCTATACGAACTGTGCCTGTGTAAAAAGTGAAAATTTAAACACTCAGGCACTAAGCACTGGGCTACCCGGAACTCTAGGATGAAGCCTGGTGCCATATTCTTTATTGGGAAGTGGCCACAGTCACAGCAAATAAGCTCTGGTACTCACTGTTAAAACCGAACTGAAGTGTCTCAACAGTAGGTCTTTATCATGAAGAGGTTGGTGCCGGAGACAGAAAGAGTTTTTCCTAATTTTCCTGCACAGAATATGGCAGCCTCATCAGGAAGACTGCTCTCATTCCCTCCGTCTGATACTCACAATCAGTTTAGGAAGCAAAAGGATCCACACAAAACGTGAGGATGCCAGGAAGCAGAACAGTAGAGTATCAAGTCCACGTTAGCTCTTTTACCCAAAGTATTTTCCATAGTTACCTTGTATATGAGCCATGGATAATGAATGACCAAGGACTCTACATCTTTAGATATTTTTAATTGAAATATGCACTGGGCTTTAAATAACAGACACAAAGAAGACAGTTTGGATCAGAAAGTGCTGTGCTTTCTCTCCTGTTAAACCAGAGAGCCACTGAATTTTCCTCAGAACTACGCCTGTTCTGTATGGTGGGAACTGAATAACTTACTTGCTTCTGAACAAGATGCAAGAACTCTTTCCTGCCACCTGCGCCATTTCTACTGCAGAAATTGAATTTGTGCCATAAAGACGGAGTACTAAACCATAAATCTGACCTTCTACCATAAAAACAGAACTATGGCAAGAGACAAGACAAAATTAAGGGAAGTGAATAATTTACCAAAAAAGAATCTGTTATTCCAGAGAGTTCTTTTGATTTGAAGAAGAGATTGAATTATTACCTCACACCTTGAAACGGAAAGTAGCAGCAGACCCACTATTACGTACTGTACTAACGGGATAAGATACAACTCTTAACTTTGCATAATCTGTGTAAAAAAGATATGCTTGACATTTGTGGAATGTCATTTCTCTTTTTATAGAATTATAGGCAAGATTTCTCCAATAAAACTTAACTTAAGCCAGTTATAAAACTATAACTTCACATCAAAATTTAAAAAAGTTAAAAAATGTGTTTGAATATGTACATATCACACAGGAGTGCTTGGATGTTCCTGTAGCTTGTGTGGCTGTTCGGAGTCCAGTCTACTCTCCGCCTTAAACACCGGGGCCGGCTGCGCCATCTGGGCTGGCTGCAGGCTCAGTTCTGATGCCGGGGGGACAGAAGACGATGCGGCTGTGAAAAGCTGCATCTCTGCACATGTGTCTTCGGGTTCAGTTTTTATCCTCACGCACTGGGAGTCACCTTCGAATTCTCGCTTTCCAGTTACCTCGCGGTCCATGCTGGCACCGCTCTCTGTGTTCTGCGTGGTTTCCACCGCGGGGTGGTACTGCTTAAGCCGGATGTGCCAGGCCAGGCTGCACACCGCCGACACCGTTTTGAACTGATGGATGACGTTTCTGGGGATGAAGTAGACATCATTGTCGCACAGCTGAATCCTGGCGTAGCGAATGCCTTCCCGCCTCATTTGGTTTAGTTTGGCTTCATCCACCCACTGCACACACTGAAGAGAGGGGAAAAGTGCATGAGACTTTAAAGTGCATAATAATTAAGTCAAATAAAATATTATTAGCACAGGAAAAAAGAGGGGCCAAATGAAAGCTAAGCAATACACAGCTTTTTTACATTTCTTATAACACCTAACCAACATTCTTCCTCATATTTTACTGCCTCTCTAGCAACAAAGGGCAGGTTAAAGGCAGCATGAGCCTAAGGAAGCATTTAAATTCGTATTTCAAAGTGCAGCTGGAAATCAGTGCTCCGTCATACAGTAGGGCGACATTTATTCGCGCCTTCAGTCCTTCCTTCTGCAGGGAGGCCCCGGTGCCATGGGGTTAGCAGTTGAGCCTACGAAGGGCCAGAACTGGCATCCCAAGTAACAGGGATTCTCAAATCTTCTGTTTGGGAAGCTCTGTTTCAATGGTTTTTTACACCATCCACACACAGCCTTAAGTAGTAGTAGAAGTCACTCCCCATGGATTTAACTGCGAGATAGAATGCAAAATAAAATGGGTGAAGACACTTCTCTCTGACAGCTCCCTCAAAGGTAATGAAAAGGCAGGAGTTGTTACCTGGGAAACTGGAGGTTCGTGAAGGTCTAACTGCAGTCTCTGTACAACATCAGTGAAATCCTCAGCGTGGAAACAAATCACATCTTTGGTTATGCGAGGCTGGTCACTCCTAAGATCAACACAATGAGGTTTTAGGAACAACCATCTCACAATGGAAACAAGGACAGATTTCAGGGTTGCTGTTCTGGGAGATGCTGCTATCAGCACAGAAATAGATAGCTCCCCAGGACAAATATACATTTGCCCCTTTAATCAACTTGAACAAAAACACTAAAAAGGCTATTTTAAAAACAGGAAAATTAGCTTAGTTATTATTAAACTAAAACAACAGTGAACAGAAGCGGAGTTTTAGTCTGACCTGGTTGCATTTGTAATCCTTTCACCACGTGACCCACCATCTCAATGCCACCCTGTAACATCATCAACTACACAAATATCACACCTCCAGTTTTCAAAGTATTAAGGGGGGGGGGGGTCTGAGTAATCTTTAATTTTAAAGATAAAACTCTATAATAATATTCAAGGCCCTAACATAAATATGAAAAACAAAGTAAAAAAAGTTTTTAAATTGGAGTTGAATTCTATTTTCTGAGCTTTGTTAAAACTGTGCCCCAAATAAATGTAAAAGGGGGCAACCATTATGAAACACAGTATGCTGGTTTCTACAAAAATTAAAAATAGAATTATCGCATGATGCAGCAATTCCACCTCTAGGTATACGCAAAAGACTGAGAGCAGAGACAAAGGATATTTGTTCAGAGCAGCCAAACAGAGGAGGCGACCCACGTATCTACCTATGGATGAACGGTGAACAACATGTGGCCTATACATATAACGGAATGTTCTTCGTCCTTTAAAAGGAAGGAAATTGACACCTGGTTCAATATGGATGATCTCTGAGGATATTATACTAAAGAAACGAGTCACAAAAGACAGCTACTGTATGAGCCCACTGATGTGAGACATTTAAAGTAGTCACATTCATAGAGACAGAAAGTAGAACGATGGTTAGCAGGAGCTGGGGAGAGGAGAAAGGGAGCTATTGCTGGTGGGTATAGAGTTTCAGTTCTGCAAGATGGAAGATTCTGGAGCTCCCTTTCCCAACGATGTCCATATACTTACCACTACTGAACTGTACGCTTAGAAATGGTGCAGATTTCACCTTTAATTTTATATGTGTTTCACCACGATTAAAAAAATGGCCCAGCCTTTTAAACCGAGCCTGCATTTCTCAGACACCGTGAAGCAGCTGTGCGGCGGAGCTCCGTGACTTACCATTCACCGAACTGCACGGCTTTCAGGACGCCGACCGCGGCGGTGCTCTGCCAGTCAAAGCCCTGGCCCACGTGGTCGGCGTGGGCTCTTGTCCTGTCTTCAAAGAGCACTTCACGGGGCTCACTGGTCCGAGGTAGGTACTGGAGATTTTTTATCTCATTCATTGATCTGCAGTGGATTTGGTTGTGAAGGAAAGGGAAGGACAAAGTATTAATAGTAATTAGGCAAAAAAGGTCGACTAAGATACCAAATTTCAAATAAGAGGAGGGCTGAGAGGATTCAATGACTTTTGTCATTAGTATTTAACAAGCACACTCTACTGTAATGTTTAATGTGATTACTTTTCTCTCTTGTTATATCATAATAGCACAGAAACTATGTCTTAGGCTCAAATGTACTGTTTGAATATATAAAATTTAGTTGTCTAGTAACAGGAAATAAAATTCAAAGTTCAAGGCTACATGTTGCTTTACTCTGAGTCATTTTTGACTCTCAAAATACCTGTAACTCTCACATCCTAGGTGAATATTTTATAACACTGAATGAGAGCAGGCCTTGCAAGCTTGCCATTATGAGAGAAACCTCAGAGGAAAAGGTATAGACTTGACAATATATACTAAACAAAAATTTCCTAGGGGAGGAGGAGCTGAAACATAAAGAAATCTGAAACTAAAAGAGAAACAACATAAAAAAAACTTCACGGTCATAATGTATAGGGAAAACTTACAAGTGAATACACCCCAATAGAAATATGGATAAAGGAAAGTAAAAGGAAATCACAAAATACGTACAAACCACTCAAAGAAAAGCAAATTAAAATGACGCATACTTGTCCAATCAGATCAATAGTTAAGAATGTTAATAGAAGTCATGAAGGAAAATTTATATCCCAAATAGTAGGGTGAGGATTAACAAAAGAACAAACAAAAAACAAACAAGCAAACGGAGGATGCCTCAGTCTGATGACTGTGCAATGAGTGGACCAGATGAAGGGACTGACCATGAGAAGATTTACTTAAGCTAGCTCTTCCAATAATCTAGACAGATGATGTTCAAACTGTGCTCAAGTCTCAATCATTTTTATAAGCTATCAATTAAAAAAAGTGCTTTTGCTTACCGTCGTCGTTTGAAGGGTGACTTTGGCATGTCTGCTGTGGGGATCATCTGCTCCCCTGGCCTCACCCACATGATGGGCCCATCATCGCTCTGGGACCGACACTGGAGCCGGAGGCTGGACAGCGTACCCCAGGGCAAAGTCATCTAGAATCAATGAATTAGTCACATAAAACGTTTTTAATAGTCTTCAGGTAACCCCCCACCTGAAAGAAAACTCTAAGAAGCTCATTTTGTGTATGTATATGAAGAAATAAATGTGTTAGATAGTAATTTCTATATACAAAAGAATACTGAAGTTAAATATTTTATAGCAATCATTTTGTAAACATTTCTATTCAAAACACTGGGTAAAATTCCATTTTAACAGACAAGATTAGCTTAATACTTTTAAATGAGAAGTATCCACTTACATAATGATTCGAACTTTAATGATATGAATCAACACTCACTTTCAGAAATGGTGACTCTTCTAACATATCAAGGAACTCTGGGAAATAATCACCAACTTCTTCATCGACTGCTCCAACAAGACTTATCTGCCGCATGGGACCTGCTCGGTAGGTGCCGCAGCAGTACGTCCTGTTGACCTGAGATAAACCAAGGGAAGAAGGACTGAAGGTACTCTATGATATGTTTGAAGAGCTAGAACAGGGCATTGTTTCCAGTGTTGCTATGTCTTCTACATACTAAGAACTCAAAGGTCAGTACCTTGGACAAAGTCAACAGTCCAGAAAAGCACCCACACACATTCCACGAAGTATTGAAGACATCATGATGTACTTAAACTTCTCTGAGAATAATAATGTGGAACTCCGTAAACACTTCAAAGTGGTCTTTATTTAGGAAAACCAGTAAACAGACAATGAAAGGGGCAGGGCAGACCACGGTCAGATTAACCCTCTGTAATCACTCTGTACTCTCTACCTGGAGAGCGCTCACATCAGGCCAGAGAGCAGGCTGACTCTTAACCACCCGATCCTCCGTCACTTCCGTAGAAGGTCCTCCACCCAAGGCAGGCTCGTCGTTTTCCCTCTCCAACTTACGCAAAGTTATTTCTGCCTGCAAGGATTTTTCTCTTGAATCTGCCCTACTTGGAATATCCTCTTTAAATGTCACCTATTTCGCCTTAATAGAAAGCATAAATGACCATCTACTATTTCTTATACAATTCTTTACTATTAGTTATTTAGCAACATTTTCAGAATCAACCCACTATTTTTTTTCATAGACAATTTAACATCACTGCCAGTACTCTGCCAAATCCCTGGCAGAGGATCATACCCTTACACACAGAAAAAAGGTCTTAGATCTTGTTCTCAAATAGCAAAGATTTATTTTTTTAGTTCCTTATAAATCTTTCCCCCAAGATCACCTTGGGTGATCTTTACGCAACAGCCCAGGCCAGAATTACCTTGCGTATATTTGCAGAGTTACCTTCCGTTCGTTCGTATGATCATCATGCTATGAAAAGCCAGAGGAGGCAGCCTGGGAAAGAATGCTCATGGCATGTAGGAATAAGGAAGGGAGGGGAGGAAAACAGCTTTTCTAAGCATTGGTCTGACCTCTCTCAGCCAGCACCCTAAAACAATTAAAGCGGAGTGAATTTTCAATACCAGTTCTAGAAATATCAGACTCTCTCATTCCCAATTACCAGAAGTTTCTCTACCTAAAAAGACTTTCAAACTATACATGATGATGGCATCTTCTGAGAGAAAATTCTAAAGACTTATCAAACTTAAAGTTCATGTAACCTAATGCCAATCCTGAGGTACACTGCCTATAGTAATTTTCAATTTATCGATACTTGGTTTGCCAGCTTTGAGATTATGCAACTCAACACATTTTTAATCTGCATTAATATTTTTAGATCACAGTACTCCACCTTTTCCTAATTTACATATCATTTAATTCAACAGCACTGAACTTGAAGACAACTTAAAATGCAAATACCTAAGATGTGACATAAAGTATCCTTTCCTATTTAAAAAGAGAAAGTAAACCTGAAATGGGGAAATTGTTACATTTATGTTTGCTGAGGCTAGAAATGAAGTAATCAGCTATTAAACTCTGTTTAAAAAAAAAAAAAGTAGTGGTAGTAGTAAAGCTGATTAGAGTGTCTGTCACATGAGTATGAATGTTTAAATGCTAATGTTTGTGCTGCACTTAAATAAGTAACAGCAAAGCTTAGAAGATGGATGGCATTTATTACCAGAAAGTCAACAGTTACCACCTATGTGGCACTGATGCCAAACAAGGAAATTATGAATTATTCCCTAGTTTCTGATCTACCGTTCTTACCTACCATTCTGGGTTTTAGTAACAGGACTTCCTGGGCACACAGCTGAGCAAGGCTCCTTGGCCTGTGACTAGGTTCTGGCCAATGAAATGTCAGCGTAAGTTATATATGCAATTTCCAGAACATGTCTTAATAAGTAAGCAATCTGCTCTCCACTTCCTCTCTCTGGAGGGCCAGGTTCGACCATGCATATGGCAACACCAAAGGGAATGGCAGAAAGGAAGCAGAATCCTGGGTGGCCTCATGGAACACCTTTGGACTTATTATTTAAGAAACTGTTATTCTGTCCTGGCCACTGTCTGTGACATATGGTGGGTTAGCCTGCAACTTGTATCCGGTATACTCTGCTCTGAAGGAGGCGCTGCATACATAACATCTGAATTACTATCTCCTGCTCTGGACTAAGAAAGAAGTCTATAACTGGAGCACTCCCAAAATAGAACAATTAAGAGAATCAGAATTTCCAAGAGAAGAACCTGAGATTCTAATATGTATGTGAAACTAACAACCCCAGATTATTCTTAGGATCTGGCAAGTTTGAGAAGTTTTGGCCTGCAAACAGCACTCAAAAGCAAAGAACAAGCCGAGTTCTACCACCTCCCAAAGTGTATGCACTGGACACCAACAAGGAAGGAACAAGTTAGAGACTGGAAGAAGGCAAGTAGAGACCAAAGAACAGAGAAAGACTAAAGTTGCCATGGGAACATGGACATAACGCCAAGCAGGGAAAAGTTAGCCTTGAGTCAAACTGAAGGCAAGTGGGGAGGGGAGGACTGAGACACCAGGGAAGAAAATAGCTCTAAGAAAATAGTAACGAGCTTTGCATGCATTAAAAAAATTTAATATACTTATAATAGCTACATAGTATTTGGTAAAGGCCTGTACCTTCCCCTCAATTGTGCTATGAACCTAAAATTGCCCTAAAAAGTAAATTATTAAAAACAAAACTTAACACTAAACTAGAAATGCACTCTGTGGAAAACCCTGTGTGTGGAGGTTGGGGAGAATAATTTTTCAACAGAATTCATGTTTCATGAAGAAACCTATTTAAGCTGATTGTTTAAAAAAACAGAGGAAAAGGCTGCCCAGCAATCTTCCTAACCTTGTGGCCTGTGAATAAAAGGTATCCCGGTTTAAACATCTAGTGAAAACGTAGTATGAGTCAAAGGAGTATAAGCTATACTTAGAATGACAGAAAGAACCAAACATACCATTTTTATGCTGCTTTACTTTATAAAACTTCTTAAAATATTTTTTCCTTTTATATAACACACTGATGTATAGTTCCTTAAGAGCTTCTCAGTTACCATCAAGTTACAAAGCTCTCTTCTATTCTTAATTAGTACCCCCCAATTCACTATACAATGTTAGTTAATCAAACATGGCACCTATAAGCCCATTTTGGGCCCTGCCAAACACATAATAAATGAGTAACATTTGTTGATTTTCTCAGGAACAGTAAACATTACGACGTTATAGTAATAAAAGCAACATTTTATAAGAATTTCTAAATAAAGTTAAAGAGCTATGACTCTCAATAAGATTTCAATATTATATAAATTTTACAGAAATATTTTTTTAAGCAGAACTTAAAAATACACATTTGCCAGGTAAAGAGAAAATAATGCCATTACAGTATTAATAGATAACACTTTTTAAATTAATTCCCTCTCCTCACAGCATATACATACACAAACTTTCTTCACATACATGCGCTTCAATAGTCTCAGATGGCGATATTTAAACAACTCCCCTTTTAACTTCACTATATTTCCAGTGTTTTTGTTACTTGTTGGTGATTTATGGGAGAATTTAAGACCGACAGCCTTGCTGGTTTGGGAACCAGCAACATCAGCAGCATCCGGGAGCTTGTTAGCAATGCAGACTCTAACACAACTCCTCTTGGAAGAACAGCCACGTTTCACCTTGGGGAAGGTCACAAACACAATGGGACCCTCCTCACCTATAAAACAAAGGCGTGGAAGTGATGCCCACCGACTCTAAAACCCTGTTAGTCAGTGAGATGACTAGAATATCCGAAATGCTAATCAGTTTGTCAGAGGCCAGAGGGTTTTTATAAGGAGGGCAGCCAAATATTGCATACTTATTGCAGAACACCTCAAGTTCTAAAACCATTAAAAATGTTTTTCTAATGACGATAATTGCATGATATAATATCTAAAGTAAAATGATAATCCTATCTAATAAAGAGGGAATATGCTAATTGACTCTTACACCACTGCAAAGATGGTGTCGCCCACAGCCAATAGAGAGAGAATATGCTAATTGACTTTCCCCCCCTTAAAGATGGTGGTGCCCACAGCCAATAAGGAGGGAATATGCTAATTGACTGCCACGCCCTCAAAGATAATGGTGCCCAGTCCTCTCAGTCCCAAACTAATTATATTTTACTTCCTGGCTGGTGGAGGAGAGTTTTACAGTAGTGTTTCCCAAACTCTAGTGTGTGTGTGAATTACCTGGGTATCTTGTTAAAATGTACGTTTTGATTCAGAAGACTTTGGTTAAGGATCTGAAAGTCTGCATTTCCAGCAAGCTCTCTGTTGATGCCAAATTCATATATTAAACACAGTTTAAATAGCAAGCTTCTTTAAAAAAAAGCATAACTTAAAATATTAAGATGGCTGTGGCTTGCAAAGCGCTGGTCTTGATAATTTAATTCCCAATTGAGCAACCTAACATTTTCCCAACCTTATCTTACTTCATTCCTTGTATGGATATGACACTTAATCACTCCATCATTTATAAAAGCTAGAAAACTTGTCATCTGAACTTCCTTCTTTGTCTTCCTTCTTTGTCTACCTCTTTGTCTTTATCTCTTCCCGTACACAAGATACGGGTGCATCACAAGATTCCATTCTGCACTTTATCTCTTTCATTCTAATGCTGTCCCTGATCACCTATAGGCTAATGGATTCAACTTCTGCATCTCCAGCCTAGACATGACTCCCAATCATAGATCCATATATTATATTTAACTACCTCGTAGACATGTCTAACCATAGTCTTTACAGGTACCTCCAACACAAAACACCTCAAACAGAACTCATCAATACCTTCCACCCCAAAACAGCTTTCAACCCTGTACTGACTTTGTGACCAGCACCACCTTCGGCCCATTGTCAAAATCACATCTTAAGACTCTATACTTCTCCCTCACCGAGTGCAAATAATCCCATCTTCTAATGAGTGTTCAAATTTCATTTCTTCCTCTCTGGTGTCAATATCAGTTTGGATATGAATCATTTGTCTGATACCACAGTAACCTAACCAATCTTCTTGCTTTCAATCTCATTCTCCACCCTACTGTGTAATCTTTGCAAACATAACTTGATAGCATGCCCCTCTTAGAATTCACCAATGATTCCCCATTACCTCTAAGAAAATAATACTAATTTTTTTAGCACATATAAAGCTCTTCACAATCTTGATTTTGTCTATCTCTCTGGTCTCAACTCTCACCACCCCTTAAGTCAGCATGTATTCTTGCTACATTAAACTATTCGCAGCTTCCTGAAAGTGCTACATTCTTTAATATCTAAGTGTTTGCATAGGAAGTATTCTTTTAATGCGCTTATTAAGCTAAGTACTAATCTTTCAAGGCTCCACTCAAGCACTATTAAGTGCTTTAAAATGCCTTTTCTAATCACCTCGAGCCTGAGTTAGGTAACACCACACACTGAGCTCCTCTCTCACAACTGTTTTCCCTGTGCATAGCTCTGTGTCTGCTCTCACTGTCAGACTGCGTTATAACCACTGGCTTATTCATCTTCTCCACTAAACTGAGCTCATCAGTTAGTCCTTTTAAGAACAGAATGTGCAGTACATGATAGGTTCTCAATAAATACTTGCTGAGCAAAGTGTCTTGAAATATACTCATGAATAATTATTATGGCTACATATTTAAATTATAACCTCTAGTAATTGTGTCTCTAAGGTAATAAACAATTTACTTCACTTTATTTTTGGCTCAACAGAACTTGATAAAACTTCACAAAACATAGAAGTCCAAAATACCTAAGGTATTCACTTAATTCCCAACAATCTAAAGGTATTTGTTAAAAAATATTAGAATGGCCTCTGAACACTCTGTGAAACAGAGATTTTCATTTCACAGACTAGTGTTAGACAAATGAAAGCACTAGTCTCTTCTCCAATGGCTGAAGGAAGGAAGGAGAATGGTAAATGACGCACATATTGTTCAACGGGCCTAAGTCTGCAATCTGCTCCCTGACCTACTTACGAGCTACATAACCTTGGATAACAATAAACACCTCCCACCCTCAGTTTCTCTGATGGAAAACAGAGATAAAACTGTTTACCTACCACATGGGTTGTGTTTAAAATATTCAGATATGAATGTGAAAGCATTGCTATAAATCACAAAGTGCTAAATAAATCTCAACTACTGTGCTAGCTTTCATCCCAACATCTGCCAATGATTCCACCACTGTAAATCTATTACACCAACTTCCACACCACCTCATCCTTCTCCCCAATGACTCAATATTCATCAATAAAATGAAGTTCCCTCACCAAGGATCACCAGAGCATGACACTTACTCAATAGTCCTCAATATTGTCATGTGGTTAAAGTAATTAGTGACATCAAATTTTTAAATAATCTGATATGTTCTTAGAAAGTGGTTATTTTGTAAATATGAAAGTAAATCTCAAGGTAAGTTGTTGGTACAGTCATTGACATTTCAGCTCCATTGGAAAAAATCAATTGGAAGACAAAAATCAGCAGGGAATATTTAGAGATTATCAGCTCTAAGCATCTTGATCCACTAAGACTAACTAACATTAAAGTTACAAAGTCATCATACAAAACCAAAACTCCCACCCCCTCCAAGTTTCCGGCTTCTCGGATATGCTTGCTGGTCTATCAATCAGAAGAGAAAATTTGCTGCAGCTTTCTAAACAAAAAAAGTGCAAGAGCATATTGATTCTGCTCTCAACAAGATCTTTGTTAATAGGGACTTATGGGGACTCTGGACTACATTAGGAGAACTATTTTCAGTCCCTTCTGCAATATTGATAAAAATAGGATTCCTTAACTTTCAAGGGGCTATCCTCCTTAAAAAAAAGAAAAGAAAAACAAAATCTACTACAAAGTCAGCGCTGCAGTACCTGATGGTGGTAACAAGGCCAAATTCCCAGGCGAAGCCCTTTCCTGCACATCGTGTTCCAACATCGTGGCAGCCCCATCTTGCGGCCTCTCCACATTGGCTGCTCCTGCTCTCTCTACTGCAGAGAGAACTCCAATTAGAGAAATTCTGAAGCTCAGAGATCTAAACTGGATACTCCCCTCCTTGGAGGCAAGGATGGTCAGAATCACTATAAGATTCAACTAGAGGAGATTTCACATCCAAGTGGCTTGAAACCACTGTAATGCAGACAGCCAAGAGTCTTATGATGCAAGAGTCTACCTACATAAAAAAACTCCTAAGGAAAGAATGGCAGCAAGTGATCAGATAACCTGAAAAAAACAGGTTGTATTATTATAACTCTCTAAGAGTGTAATGTTCTCCGTGAAACTTGGGTAGAATTTGTATCTATAACACAAACTTATAGCTGACCATCCACGTTCATAATCCTTATGAGAAAAGCAAGCAAGAAAAATCTAGAACGTATTATCAACTTCTGTTTGTGCCCTAACATAACTTCATTGAAAAAAGCGTTTCGTTTAAAAGCACTGGTTAGAAGGGCAGTTTCCCTACTGACTTCAGCCCGGCTGCCCCCACCGCGGGGCCAGGCAGAAGGAGCGGCTAGGGCCGTCTCCCAGGGCCACTTCCCAGTCACATGGAGGAGCTGTTTCTGGGACAGACTGCCAACAAGTTACTGAAAGAAAAGCAAGAACCTGGCAAATAAGCAGGTCAATGCCCTCAGATGTGTTATTATGGCACAAAAGATTAAGTTTACTAGAGTTACCTTGAGCCTACCGGTTCTAAATCACACCACCTATGCTAACATTACCTAATCCGTGAGAGAATGGATTTGTTCTCAGGCTGGTTTTCCACAAAGATGTGTAATCATGTGTAAAGCATTGCTTAGACCAAGCAAGTCATATGCCACATCCCGAAGAACTTCAGTAATCAAGATTTTTCAATGAGAAATAAACAATTTGAACCACAGTTGCCACCATGAGTTTTTATTCAAAGTGTGCTGTGTGTGCTGACAACAAAAGGAGGGTTGGCGTGAACGGTAACTGTACTCACTAAGTAACGGAACAATGAGGCGGCCTTACCTGAGTGTGGAAATTGGAAATGGTGGTGGTTTCGATGTCTTTCTTGCCCAGAATCTCCATTTTCACCGGAGTGCTGGGGAAATTAAAAGCAAAATAGTCCAAGAAGTCCGGAAGATAAGCAGCCGCCCCATGCACTATCGCTAAAGCATAGTGCGCAGCGTTTTTCTCATTTTCACTGAATGTCAGAGCAAGAAACTCCTCGGAAAACCTCTCCATCTCCACGGGAGACAAGAATGAGAGTTCGTCCATGTAAGCGTGCAGGATGAGGGCACCACCGTTGGACTGGTGCTCCTCGTGGATAAAGTTGCTGAACTTAGTGCCTGTGTTTAAGGAACTTCTCCGGATCGAATGCTCCTGGTGGGTGACAAAGGGAGTCTGCACGCCCTGGGGCACCCGGTACTCCTGCGTGCCCACGTTCAGCCGGCACAGCTGCTCGTCCGTCAGGTAGCGGCAGGCCTCCCCGCTCACGCCCGGGGTGCTGCTGGCCTGGCCCTGGGCGAGGGCCTCCTTGCTGATGCGCGTCAGGCCGGCGCACACAGTTTGGACTTCCTTGTTGTACATTTTAAGGCGTCTTCCTCGCATGTCTTCTCGGTGTTTCTTTTTCTTTTTCTTCTTTATTTTCTTCAACACAAAATCATCCGCTCTCTGGGCTTTCCCGTTTTCATCCGGTGTTTCTGGCCACAATAATTAAAAAGAAGTCAGTTGCTAGGTCTAGTGTCAACATGCAAACGTCTTAAGGTACTTTATATCAAATTAAGTAACCTATTCTCAGTTTCTATGAATTTGTCATTATTACAGCGTACATGTTTATAAAATGAGACAAAAATCTTAAAATACAGTAATATTCTGGTTTGAGGATTATGCTAAAGAGTAGATAATGCAAAGGTCAGCATATAATATGACCTGCAATCAAAAAACAAAAGGAAATAGAGAAGTTACTGATTTCACATATGCTATGCAGTATGGTAACTATGAAAATCTACATTGGAGCTCATCATATTTTGCTATCAGTCTACACATTACTATGATACATATAAGTGAATCAAACAAAGACAAATTGAGCTGTGAGACACCATTTTGCCTACAAAATTGGCAAAGACTTTTTTTTTTTGCATTCTCATGTGCAGTTGCTAGAAGTATCAACTAGTACAACTTTGATGAAGGGCAATTTGGCACTCTCCAAAATTATTATGTGCCAAAGCCTTGAAAATATTTCTAATTCTCAGACCCAGAAATTCCACTCCCAAGCAGAAATTACCTAAGAAAATGGCTGAAGACACACACAGCCATCTGTGAGGGCACTGGAGGCCGGTGCACGAACTCCGTGCCAAAGCAGGCCTCCTTCCCCGCTGCCCGCACCAGCTTCCCTCTGGGACCCGGGACCAGGCTTCCCTCACAGCCCCAGCTTCCTCCGGAAGGATGTCCAGTCTAATTAGCACATTTCACTTTTATTATTATAGATTATTTAGGAAATCCCCTAATTATCTAATAATAAGATACTGATTAAACTCTGGTACTTACATATGATAAAATACTACCCAGCCACCGCTAGCAGGGTCCCCTAAGACCATCGGAAAACAGATCTTTACGTTATGATTCATGACAGTAGCACAAGTGCAGCGATGAAGCGGCAGCGACAATAACTTTATGGCTGGGGCCACCACCACAGGCGGCGCTGTGTTACAGGGCCGCGGCGTTAGGGGGCTGAGAACCTGTGCTAGGCGCAGGGGAACCTCCTCGGGAGGTGACATTCAGACTAGGCCCTAAGTAGTACGAGGTGATAAGCATGTTTTTGAGAGAAAAATATTCCAGGGAGAAGCCAAGTACCCAAGGAGAGGAAAAAGTCTGACTTACCTATAGGTATTTTGTATACATACCACACAGAAAAATAACTGGAGAAGTGTTAATGGTGGTTATCTAGGCTGTAGGATTATAAAAGTCTAGGTTTCTTCTTTTTTACTTACATTTATTTTCCAACTTTCTACAAAAACATGTATTTTTTCATAATTAAAAAATGTATTTTTTTGCTGAAACCAGTTTGGTTCAGTGAATAGAGCATCAGCCTGCGGACTGAAGGGTCCTGGGTTCGATTCCAGTCAAGGGCACCTTGATTGTGGGCACATCCCCAGTAGAGGGTGATAAGGAGGCAGCTGGTCTGTTTCTTTCTCATCATTGATGTTTCTAACTCTCTATCCCTCTCCCTTCCTCTCTGTACAAAATCAATAAATTAAAAAAAAAAAAAAAAGAATTCTTTAGAATTAAATATCAGGTATTGTCCTGACCAACCTTCAAGCACAGTGTGGTATGTCTTGTATAGAATTTATCCAGCCAACTACAGTATTTCTGACAGTGTTGAGATAGTTACTCCCACTAATCCTATCACTATAGGTGGGAAGAACAAGCTCAATAAATTTTAGAGTAAAAGATTTCCTTGGTATAAAATATGTAAATATATGATAGTTGTGGGAGCCTGTACAAAGTCATTCTAATAACCAGATACACAGATTATAAAATCTTCAAAAAAAATGTTTAAGTGCAAATCAAAGACTTTAATGTGATAGATACCAAATGATTTTCATTCTATTTAATACTTGCATTTAAACAACAAAAAGAAAACCATTTGCAAACATCACTTGTAATTAAACTGAGATCATTTAGCAAAATAGGCATGTCTTACTGGCCAGAGAAAAAGCACTCCTTTTTTGGGGAGAGCAAAGGAGGGTCATTTATCCTCACCTGAGGGTATTTTTTTCCACTGGTTTTTTGAGAGAGAGTGGAAGGAAGGAGAGGAGGAAGAGAGAAAGGAAAAGATCAAAGTGAAAGAGGCACATTGATTGGTTTCCTTCCCGCACACGCCTGTCTGGGGCCTGGATGAACCTACAATCCAGATGTGTGCCCTTGACTGAGGAATTGAACCCTCAGTGCCCAGACAGGCACTCTAACAGCTGAGTTACAATGTCCAGGGCAGAAAAGTGATCTTTTATTCTACACCCAACTAAATCTTTGAGAGATAATTAAAACAATTAAAACACCTAGTAACAGTCATTTATATTTCTTACCAAATAAATCTAAATACTTTTCCTATATATCCAATCAGTAATTTAGGCAATTCTCCCAAGCAATTAAATGTTAATGCCATTAAATATAAAGGTTAAACCAATTTTTAAAATTATCTGATTATCCACTGTAAATGTTTAGCAATTTCACAGAAAAAAAAAAATCTCTGAATGACCCTGTTATTTTAAGCTTCAGAGGATGTACTGGTATGCAGAAGATGAATTGTGACCTAGAGCCAACAGTGAAATTAACACCAAAGAGCTGCCTTGATTGTAACAGGTCTTATATTACTATCAAATTACCAACGGCATTCCTAACATGGCCAGTCTCTGTGAGTTTTATTCCAAAACTCATTATATGAGAACCATTCAATTAATTCAGCATGGTCATCTCAAAACCATCACCACATAAGGAAACAAAAAGCCCTAAATTGGTTTTAATCTCATATTTCAACATGATAAAAGTTTAGAATGTGACATTCAATCAATCAATTCACTAATCCTGTTTTTCAAATTTTGATTTTTATCTAAAGCTAAGGCTGAGATAGAGAAAGCTCACCTTTGATTACAGAGAAATTTGAGACAACTTGTATCACACTAGCTAATGAATTTCCATGAATAAACAAATATTAATTTTAAGTTATTATGGTGGTGACTAATTGAGAATGGCACACATATACGAAGTTATTAAAGGTTATTATACTAAGTTAGCCATCACTGCTTAATGGGAATATCGAGGTTGCCTTGCCTTGAATTAAAAATGTTATTTAAAAGTCAGTGTCTCTGCAATATAAATTATATCAAACAAATATGTTGTACATCTTAAACTTACATAATGTCATATGTGAATTATATCTCAATTTTTTTAAAAAAAATCAATGTCTAAAAATCTTTCCCTTTCTGGGAGTGTTTGTGGTCCAGGAAAGAATGTGATCAGACCAACTACACTTAAGTAAAAAGAAAGCAGCCTGAAACATTGTATGTTATTTATATTAGGTCACCATGTCAGTATGTGACAACCAAGACTCAAGCTCTTGCTTGTCTGACTCCAAAACTCCAACTCTCTGACACATTCCATCCTGTTCTCTCTCTGCTTCCTCCACCTCCCTCTCTGCAGCGCTCCCATCGATGATCAGCTAAAATAACCTCATCGCCGGAACCGGTGTGGCTCAGTGGACAGAGCAACGGCCTGCGGACTGAAGGGTCCCGGGTTTGATTCCGGTCAAGGGCATGTGCCTTGGCTGCGGGCACATCCCCAGTGGGGGGTGTGCAAGAGGCAGCTGGTCGATGTTTCTCGCTCATCGACATTTCTAACTCTCTGTCCCTCTCAATTTCTCTCTGTGTAAAATCAATAAAATATATATTTTTAAAATAAAATAAAATAACCTCATCACAATTAATGGATTTGAGGTGCTTGGAGGAACCTCCAATAAAGAGACCGTATTCAACAAATATGTTACTGGGTGCCCACTACACAATTCTGCATGATCATAACGATAGCGTTATGTTACGTTATGTTATGTTATGTTATGTTACGTTACGTTATGTTATGTTATTATTATACAAAAATACAAACATGTTCACGGCCTTCCAGGCTTCTCTGCCTCTCTCTGAGTAAGGAAAAGGACAGGCCAGGAAGTCGTTGCTCTGACAAATGAGATTACCTGTTTACTTCCGTTCTCTGTATAATCCCGGAGTAATTCCCCACTCTCATCACCAAGACAATCAACTGTTCCTGGATTTAAATCCCTGCCAACAGCTCTTTGACATCACAGAAAATTTCAATTAGGAGTCTGCCCTCGGACACTCCCCGTGAGAGCGGTTAGGACCGCTGGGCAAAGATGAAAACGGTGAGAAAGGCAGGCTGACTCACTGGAAATACACGAAAGCAACCTGTCCCTTAATGGCATTGGAGAAGAGAGCTACAGGAATCACTCACCCCTTTCCTTTGTTAAAAAAAGTCACTACAATAACAAATTTAACCATAAATAATTAGAAAGAAGCGTCACTTCCTTTGATGGGTTTTGTGGAGGAAGTCAGTTCTATGCTTTGAATGCAGTTAAAAGGGAGAGGAAAATAATTAAGATTTCAAAAGACCCAGGTAACTCAATTTAAGACTCAAGCCTGTTCCTTACAAGAAATAAAATTTTAAAAAAGATTTCTATCTCTTAACATGTAATGTCTTCTAGATTCAGTTTACCACTTTCTAACTAGAAAAATTTTAAGCATGCCACTTTACCTCTTCAAAAATCATTTTCTGTACCATTTTACAGAGAAAGCAAGTTTACCATAGTACTTACAGATTAAACTTTTGTTTCAACTACTTATGAGCAGCTAATTCCCAATGCCTAGCATCCGGCATTCATGGTGAACTGTGCGGGAGCTGGCACTGAGCACTGCGGGCTGGTGTGCAGGGGCTGGTGTGCAGGGACGCATGGCCTCAGGGTCTGCAAACTTTTCCTCTAAAAAGCTCTGAGGCCCTCTGACCTGTCTCACAGCTCTCCTCACGGCTGCAGTGCCCACTCTGCCGCGGACCGCCCATCTGAACGGAGTGGAGCTCCGCTGAAACTACTCTGGACACTGAATCTGAGCTTCTGTGACTTTCATATGTCACGGTT